GATTGAGAATGTAGAAGAATTGGGAAAGAATTTAAGAGAATTGAGAGAAGAAGATCGGGAATTAGGGATTCAATATTATCTTTACATACTTTGAATAATGAAAGTTTGTGACTTAAATAGTTCTCTATCGAAATAACAAAATACCCCCATTAGGCCGAACCGGTCGAGCCTCCTCTAGCAGCCGTGTTTCTCACAGAGTCGCTTAATGGAAGTGAAAATTTCTTATCGAGTTGTCAAGTCATTAATAGATTAATAACCGACAAGGATTGTTAACCACCTTAATAGGCAAAACACCACACTCATCAACGAAGGAAATGCTTGGTTACTTAGTTTTAGGTTGACGACAAGAACCTATGAGGGAAATCAAAGTCCAGAATTTGGTAATTAACATCTTCATTGAAGAAATCGGCGATCGTCTCACCCTTGCCGCCAAGGTTTGCTTTCTCTCTGCTACTTTGTGCTTGCTCTGGAGTTAGACTCTTAGCAACTTCCTCTTCTGTTCCTGCTTGATCATATATTTTCACTGATTTTATGAGCAGGTACTGGAGCAACTCAGCAGCGAAAGTGCGAAACCCCTGTACTGCTCCAAGAGTATGCTTTAAGGCTACAATTTTAGTAAATAGCAATATGATTAGGAGTTGGGGTTGCCTTTTTTGCGGTGGGGGTTTCATGGGAGGTAGAATGAATTGGTTTTTTTAGCTAGGAGAATTTTTTTTTTTTGAACAAGTTAGCTAGGAGAATTAGATGTGTGTTTCTTCTGTTCGATGGTTCATTGGAACACTTCTACTATGCTATAAAGTATTGGTGCTTTAATGTACAATTTCAAGTTGTATCATAATGTTAAATGTATAAGTTCAGGTTGTACCATAAAAGAATTTGTACTATTATGTTATGACACAACTTTACAACTTGAAGTTGTACCATCACATTAAGGTACAAGTTCAAGTTGTACACATAAAAAATTTGTATAAAAAATATAGGTACAATCTGAAGTTGTACCATAACGTTAAATGTACAATTTCAAGTTGTACCATAAAGGCAAAACCTTATAGCACCAATGCTATATAGCATTGTGAAATTCCTCTGGTTCATTGAGGGAGTGGATTCATTTTTTCATCTGGCGTGGGGGGGTGGGGGGGTGGGGGGGTGGGTGGGTGGGTGGGGGGGATAGGTGAGAAGACGAGAGGGAGTGGATTCATTTTTTCATCTCTAGAGTGGGGGGAGGTGAGAAGACGAGAGTGTGAAAAGCAGAAGGGAGTGTGGTTGTAGTTTTTTATTTCGCACTTTCCTTTTATACATTCTCTAAAAAGATAATTATGTACTTTTCCTTACACCACATCCACAAATCTCACACCTTCCTCTCTTTCAAGCGAGTAGGAGGTTAACCGCTAAGATAACTGCTAGCCACATCGATGGTTAACGGTTACCCTCTAACTCTTTGTGGGTAGACTAGACTAACGACAATGAATTTTTGGTTGGCAGTAACCGCTAATCACATTAGCGATTAACGTTTAACCGCTAAACGATTCGTCTATCACCACTAATTGAAATTGTTATACCTAACCTTTTAGCTTATGCTACATACACAATCACACATATGACATACCTAACGGTGTATTTTAGAGTGCATGAAATTCATCAATACATGTATACTATTATACATCTATTCACCATAATGGAGTTTTCACGGAGGATGAGAGCACGATAAAAGCTGCTTTCGTGTCCTATTTCCAAGGCAAGTTTATTGAAGGGGAGACAGCAAGACCCTTCCCTAAACACTACAAGCCTTTTACTTTCTTGGAGGAACAGAATGAAGCTCTAATCAAGCCTTTCACAGAGACGGAAATCAGGTTAGCTGTCAACCAGTGCAATGGGGATAAGGCACCGGGTCCGGATGGGTACACTCTAGAGTTTTACAAAAAGGCCTGGAATATCATTAGGCAGGATCTTATTAAAGCTCTTGATGACTTCTATCTATCTGGTTCTCTCCCAAACTCAATTGCGCACTCATTTATTTGTCTTCTCCCCAAGAAGGAAGCGGTGGAGGATCTCTCTGATTTCCGGCCAATTAGCTTACTGGGAAGTCTCAACAAAATCATCTCTAAGATCCTCTTTAACCGTTTACAGCCGTTCATGGGAAAAACAGTCTCTAAGTTTCAATTTGCTGGATCCAGGAATCGGGTTATTCATGAAGCCAGTTTCATCGCGAATGAAATTATAGACAGCCGAAGGAAAAGCGGCAAACCCGGGTTGGTAATTAAACTCGACATTGAAAAGGCGTTTGACTCAATTAATTGGGGCTGTTTATTCGGTATTCTGAAGGCCATGGATCTCCACCCACGTTTTCGTAAATGGATCGAGGGTGTCGTCTCGTCAGCTAGAGTTTCTGTGTTGATTAATGGAGAGGCTGTGGGATTTTTTGGTATGCAAAAAGGTGTGAAGCAAGGTGACCCCCTCTCACCTTTTCTCTTTAACCTGGGTATGGATATCCTCTCCTTCATTTTTGACAGCTTGAAGGAAGCTGGCTTTCTCTCCGGTTTTTGCATCGATGAGAAGAATCGACGGGGGGCTGTTACTCATCTCTTGTACGCTGACGACGCAATAATCTTCTGTGATAATAAGGAAGAGGAAGTCCTGAACATTTTGGCTGCTCTAGTATGTTTTCAGTGTATTACAGGACTCAGAGTAAACCTTAGTAAGTCAAGGATTCACCCTGTTGGTGATGTTCCGAATCTCAGCAGACTTAGTCAACTTCTCGGCTGTGATTGGGAATTTCTTCCAACGACTTACCTTGGTCTACCTCTGGGAGCCTCCATTTTCTCCTCGGCTATCTGGAACCCGGTCATCAATAAATTGCGTAATAGGCTCGAAAGTTGGAAGGGAAGCTTTCTTTCCCTTGGTGGCAGAGTGGTATTGATCAATGCTGTATTGTCCAGCCAAAGCATTTATCCCTGCTCCCTCTTCCCTGCTCCTAAAGGCGTTGTGAATGCAATGGAAAAAATCCAAAGGTATTTCCTCTGGTCTGGATCGATGGGCAAGGAAAAGTTTCATCTAATTTCATGGGACCTGTGCAAGATTCCGAAGCAGAAAGGCGGACTTGGCATCCGTAGCTTAGAAACACAAAACCAGTCTCTCCTCATGAAATGGTTATGGAGATTTTCTACTGAAAGGGAATCTTGGTGGAGAGAGCTCATTTGTTTAAAGTTCCCTAGTGCCTCGTCTGAATGGTCGTCGGGGGATTGTACCGGAAGTGTCGGTTGTAGTCTGTGGTCGCAGATCATGAAATTGAAGCATACATTTTGGAGAATGGCGCGCATTGAACAAGGTAGTGGTTGTTGGACTTCCTTTTGGCATGATCATTGGGTCGAAGGTTCTTGCTTGGCGGAGAAATTTCCGAGAGTGATGGCTGCTGCTGTCCACCCGAGTTCCCGTGTCGCTGATCACCTGTCCATCGTGGGCGGAAATCTATTGTGGGAAATTCCTCTTAAATTTTCTCTTCGTGGGGGGGGGGGGGGGGGGCAGAGAGGGAGAGAGAGTGCTTAATGAATTTACTTGAAAATATCCCTTCTTCTAGTTTTACTGCAGGTCCTGAGAGAGTGACTTGGCTGCCCGACGCGTCTGCAGGCTTTAGCGTGAAGTCGGCGTACAATCACTTGATGACAGATAGACAAATCGGAGTCGCTGATTTCCCCGTCAAGGTCGTGTGGCAGAGTATAATCCCAAGCAAAATCTGCATCTTCCTATGGATCGTGTTCCACAAAAGACTTCTCACCCATGACAACCTCAAGAAGCGAGGATACCAGCTACCAAGCAGATGCGCCCTCTGTGAAAAGGAGGAGGAGAACCCAAACCACTTGTTCGTTCATTGCAGTTTCTCAAAGGAAATTTGGTGGAGGATGCGCTCTTTCGTCAGGATTGAAAGCAGTATCATTGATAACGACGATATTTCAACAAGGATCATACGATGGTATTGTCATAAGCCATCCAGCCCTTGGCAGTGGTGTACTAAAGTCTTCTTACACGCGTTTTGTTGGACAGTATGGCTGGAAAGAAATTCCAGAGTCTTCAAGGGGGAAGCTGCTTCCCCTCTCGCCGCATCTTTCCGAATTGGGTGCCTTATTGCAAGCTGGGTGTCCACGGCAGGAAAAGTCGACAAGCATGTGGCCGAGGCTTGGGTATTGACTCTCAAGAACAGATTGCTTCCCAGGATTAGGCGAGCTCTCCAGTGACATCTGATCCAGTAGTCCTTTGCTGTCTTTTCCTTTTCTCTTCGGGGCCTTCTTGTCCCTCTCCGCTTCTGTTTATGGTGTTTTCACTGCCTCTTTCATTTGTTATTCCCTTGCTGTTGTTTTTTCTTGTCCCTTGGCTTACGTTGCCCTGTTGGATCTTGTAATCTCTGTCTGTTTATTTTTAATATATATCATCCTTAACAAAAAAAAAAATAATGTTATGCCATTTTATGAAAGAAATATCAGTTTTAACCCTTATTTTTAATATAAAAAAGACAATATAAAATGTTAGGACCATAACTATAGATATTAAACAAGGAACCATAATTTCAATCCGAATGATTCTTTCTGTCACGTCAATAAGAAAATGCAGGTGCTATTATTTTATGCATAAAAAATAAAAAATAAAAAATTATTAACAATACAAATACAGTAACAATCTCACTCAAACAAAAGCCTCATATTGAAAGCTCTCCTCTAATCAACCTTATCCACTAATGCAATATAAATATAATGCTCAATGACTACAGTTCTTGTTTGTGCGCTTGGAATTAATTAATCGAAGTAGGGATGGAAAAACCCGTGTGATAAGGAAAGAGAAGTAGTGGGACACTGGGACGTACATGCAGGTCAACAAAAGACACAATATCCAAAACAATACTAACGGAGTTCACATGTACGTTGACCAAAAAAAGAAATACCCCGCGGCCATTCCCCGCCGGCGCACTATCATCATCATCATCCATGCCTTCCCGGCGGTGAGAAGCTGCGGCAAAGGCTAATCGTCGGGGTTCCTTCCGGTGGCGGTGACGGCGGCGTCAAAAACTTGCGTACTGCAAAACAAAACAAGAGAATATTACAAGACTAATCCTATAAAGCGTTACATTATCCGAACCGGTGATAAAAAGAGTGACCGACCTGCAGGAGTAGTAGTGGTGGCGGTGTTGAGGAGAGGTTCGAGAAGGCTCCGGCAGGAATATGCCGACTCAACTCCAAGAGCCAATATCAGTACTACAGCCACCACAAGACCACGGAGAATTAGAAGCATAATGACGCTTCTCTGGGCCGCCTTCATGATTTTTAGCTTAGCCTGCTACCTAACTGCTTATGCATTCAGTCAACCGCCTTGTTCTTTCCGGGGAACTCCACACATATATATATATACAGCTGTTTTTGTTCTTCTCTTTTTAACTTGTTTAAAATTGTTTTTCTTGCATTAAAGTCGACGTAGGCGCCCGTACGCGTAGTTGCGTCGGACTTTTCGGATGCTTTCCTATTTAAGCGACGACTTCTCGTCATTCTCTTTTGAATTGTTTTGTCAGTGTTCTTTTTTTTTTAAGAGGTCGAAGAGGGATGAGTTATGGTGACAACCCTTAAGGGGGTTGTGGGTTTGACAACCCACTTTATAGCCATTAGATGTATTCTCTCTCTTGTCTCTCTCCTGTCATTTTTAAATTGAAGGTTGAGATGAAAAGAAGGGTGTTTTTGGGATGCAAAAAACTTACCACACCCAATCATTTTTCCTTCTATATAAAATAATAAAACCCTAATCTAACCCTCCCATGCCGTTCACCTCCTTCTTCCTTTCCTCCCTTTCTTCCGCGCCGCAGCTCCCTCTTCCTCGCCTTTCTTCCGCGCCGCAGCTCCCTCTTCCTCGCCATCCCATGCCCACCACGCCATTAATTAGAGGTTGATGATCACCACTGCAGCAGGCGACAGGAAGGGAACTGCTCCCTCTCCCCTGCCGGCGAGCCGCTGTCCTCCCCCCGTGCCCCGCCGCGCCCCTGTCCTCCCCTGCCCCGCCGCCGCGAGGTCAAGACTCTTCCCTGCCTCCCTCTTTCCTCATCCCTATTTTTTTTTCCAGATCTGATAGTCTCTACTGGTACCAATACCACTGGTAGCACTATTGGTACCAATACCACTGGTAGCGCTATTGGTACGCTACCACTACTCACTGGTAGCGCTACCACTACTCACTGGTACCAATACCAGTGGCTCCCTATCATCTGGTACCATTATCATCTGTTTTTTTTTTTGGTGTTATTCTCTACTGGTACCGCTAACAATGCTAGTGGTATAGCTACCAGTGTTAGTAGCGTTGTGTTATTCTCTACTGGTAGCGTTGTACTGGTAGCGTACCACTAGTACTGGTACATTTTTACTGGTACCGCTAGTACTGGTACATTTTTTAACGTACTGGTAGCGTACCACTAGCACTGGTATATTAATTACCAGTAGACTAATAGATTGATACACTTTTTAACGCATTGGTACATTTTTTCAGGTTGCCGGAGGGAGTCTGCCGGAGAGAATTCGCCGGAGAAAAAGTTTGCCGGTCGATGCGGAGTGGCTGCTGGAGAAAGGAAGAGAGAGAGAGAGATAAATAGAGATATTAATGTATATGATTTAAATTTTAGAAAAAAATGTATTTAATATGGGTTTTTAATTCCCAATATAATTAATACAAAAGAGGTAATTAATATATTTCTTTTTTTTCATATCCAAAATACCCTTAGTTGTGAATCTGACAACCCCTTAGGGGTTGTCACCGTATCCCGTCCCGGTCGAAGATCAAGTTTCGAATCGGTGGATCTTGCACAAAAAAGAAGATAAAGAAAAATAAAAAATCGGTGGATCTTTTGTTCTTTATAAAATAATGACTTGTTCTCAACTGATTTAGTAGTTATTTTATTTCTTTACATCAATTATTTTCAAGTATCTAAGTTAAAACGAGTGATTCGACCCCAAATGTACACTTTTGATTCCCATTTATTTTTAGCGTTTGTGGTTTTACGCCAGGTATGTCATGTTTCAGTGTGTTTCGGAATCTAACAGGTGGAACCAACCCCGAAGTCGATTGTTGGAAGAAATGGCGCGAAGATCGAATCAAAGGAAGAAGCAGTCGAAGATCACGGTCCAAGCAGAAAGTTCACGATCATCAGGACCGTGAACTGGAGACATAAACCATGAAATGGCAGGTTCTAGAGGGATTCAACAGGTTACTGGCATCAAGTTAGTTCACGGTCACAAGACAGTGAACTGAAATCATGGACCGTGAACCAGCTAAATGAAACGGTGCGAATTAGTTCGAGTTCACGGTCTCCGCCATTAGTTCACGACCATGAACTGGGCGCGATCTGTGTATAAAAGGAGAGCTGAAAGGAAGAAAGGCCAAAGTGAGAGAAACCTTCTTCTTCTTCAAGAATCTAGAGAGAGAAAGGCACGAACCAAGAGGGAGAAGAAGCCAGGGTTTGCTCCAAGTAAAGATTTGGGAAGTTTCTCTTCAAGAGAGGATTACTACAAGCACAAGAGAGGATTGAGGCATCACAATGATGGTTTTCCCCCTTTCCTTTGTGTTCTTCCTTCTTCTAGCATGTAGTAGTCTCCTTTTCACTTGGGTGCTGTAGAACCCTAACTTCTACCATGCAGCTAACTGTGTGGATTGAATGACTGTGTGTGGGTGGTGTTTAATTTGAAATTTAAGATATTTTTCATGCTGATTAGGCATTGTGTGTGCTTGGCAATCTATTGAGCTATTCTAACATAGATTAGAGGGAAACCCCCTTATCTTAAGAGGCTCAAATTGAGTTGGGTTTTATTGGGCATTCCATGCCTCCTATCTAGGTTAATGTAGGGAAAATCTATAAACTCAAATTGAACACCTAGGTTAATTGTGATTAAGCCATCCAAACCCTGGTTTGAGGGAGAAGGATGGCCAACCCCCAATTGCTTGGGTCAAGAGGGTTACAATTGTAGCCTATAATGCATTCCTTGGCCTATCAATTGAGAGTGTGGTTTCTAATCATTGTTGCTCCTCCTAGCGGTTCACAATCGCCTTTTCCACACCTTGATATCCATATGATTAAGAGAGTCCGACATAAAAGAGATCATGTCACCCTCATGGCCTCATTCCACCAAAAGGGAGCCATAAACCTTAGCAGATGCATGAAACTCAATATCTCCTCTGGAAAGTTGGTAGTGCGGCCCGCTTTAGTGCAAATGCTGAGATCAATGCGGAGGTATCTCGCAAACCTAGTGATATGTATGGCTCCAAGTGCATGATGCAATTACAAAGGTTGTTTGTCGCCTTGGAAAAAAAGTTGCTAGCACTGACCCAAGGTGCAATCTTCGAGTGACATGAGACATGGTGACAAAAGCGAGCATGACCCATTTGGTGACCTTGTTGGATGGTCAGTCACTCGGGGAAATGGATATTATGAGCAATTAATGCAATGATGACGCGCCACTGAGATTGGAGCAAAGTCGTCGTGGTCCTTGCGAGATCATATCTGACTCGTTGGTGCTGGGTAGGGGTGGCTATACGGTCCGGTCCGGTTAAATTGGACCGAATTGATCCGGTCTCAGTCCGGTCTTTTCGGGAATATAAGGACCAAAGATTGAATTGGATACAGTCCGGTTTTGACCCGGTCCGGTCCCAATTTTATCTTGATTTTAGGTGTTGGGGGTCTCTTATCCGGTCTTTATCCGATTTTTTTACCTCAAATCTAAGCCCGAATATGAGATTGCATTGTATGCTATCCGGTCCCAGTCCGGTCCGGTCCGGGTTATACGGACCGGTTTCGGGTAAAACCAAACAGTCCGGGACCAAATAGCCAGCCCTAGTGCTGGGGTAGGGAGACCTCCTAGAAAATGCACGTCGAGGTCGGTGATTAAATCGATCTCATCATACCTCTAGGGTCCAACCCCATAGCATTAGCTAGCTCATAACAAGACATCTCACGAATGAAACCTACGAGGATCCATAAATCATTAATTGCACTATCTCCTGTATTTTACCAATCACATGTTCCTTGGAGAGTTTCTGTCAGCATAGAGAGACACCTGCATCTCTCCCTCCATGGCTAACTAACGACCGCAGACCATACGGTTCTACCCATAACAACTTTTTTTATTGGAAGAGGAACGAAATTATGACACAACCAATTCAACCAGTACATCTCAATCCAAGCCAATCAAAGATAGTGATGTGAAAACAGTGCTCAGTCAAGAGAGTTTCGGACAAAAATTAGACCAAAATAACATAAAGTGAAGTGGTATAATCTGGTTTGAAAATCATATGACACTTACTCGAGACAAACTTCTGATTTGGTTGATAACTCCGGATTGAGTACCTACGCTTGAAAGAATTAGGAAATGATATCCAACTACAAGTTATATGTGCCCCTTCGTGGTAGTATGCCAGAGAAAATAGAGATAATATCTTCTTCCTTTGTTCCTTCGTTGATTTCATTGCATGATTACATTTTTAATAACAAGTATAGTGTAGTGATACGGTATAAAGTGATAATCACACTGAGACCGATAGTGATTTCCAGTGTCAGTTAGGGCTGGACAGCGGGCTGCTAACCCGCGGATTTAACCCAACCCACCCGCAAAATGACCGGATTTGCTGTGTGTGGGTGGTTTGTTGGGCGGGTCACGGATGAACTCCTTGGAAACCCGCAGGGGGTGGATGGGTGACGGGCGGGTGCGCGGGTCACCCGCAAACCCGTCTCCATCACCCCCACTGCGATTATGCCTCCAAAGCATCCCTAATTCTTCTATTCTTTCCTTTATCCCAAGCCGATATCTGATTCTTTCCACTATTCCAAAACTTTTCGATCGAATATCCTCTTCACCCGGGGAAATTTCTTCAACCAACAATCTCTATCCAATTGACTTGCCGAACAGCAGTAGAATTTCAACGTTTCTTCCCTTTCAATTCTTTATCCGATAATCATGCTTATGGAAGGCAATATCGAATTCGTCGGGGTTTCATCACTCCAAGTCTCTATTCATCCTACGATCAGCTATATAAAGGTAAGGTAAGAGCACTCCATTTTTCAATCCAAAGCTTCTCAAATCCAAAAACGCTTATTGCAGCTTTTGAATAAAGTTTTTGCAGCCTTCTGGTCTCCTATCCTTCGCAGCAACTTTAGGTTTTTGAAGCTTCCAGTTTTCGCAGCTTATTCTCCTCTCTTTTGTATCGATGGTGGATGTTGGGCAAGAGGTAATTTCAAGTGTTCATGTTCTGTTTTATTCTCGTCATTTTCTGGTATAATCCAAAGGAAACGGGTTCACCCCTACTGGCTACTACGTGAGAAAGAATACACAAGGAGTAATTGCTGCTGTAGGGCTTTACTGATGTATATGGGTTTGTAGGATTGTACTTGGGTTCCCCGAAGCAGTATAAAAGTACTTCTGTCTCTTCTGGTTTATCGAAAGCCAAAATTTAAGAGGGGGCCAGCATCTTCAAAGTTGTAAAGCGACACCTATTACAGTAAAACATCATCGAACGTGACCTCTACTTTCTGTTTATCGACAAATATGTCACTAAAACCTTTGCTGACATCTTCATGTTCATCAACCATCATTACTAAAACCTATGCTTTCATCAAAAATAATATTACTACTATTTGTTCATCCTATTGCACTGAAACTTATGCTGCCAGCTTTAGAATCATGTGGTTTTAGCTTGGATAATTGACTATAACTTTCCATATGCTCTTCACAGGTTGTTAATTCTCCAATGGCTCCTACTGGAGTGTCACAAGGTGCTGCAACTGAAGTTCAGGGCACTCCAGTCTCGGCTGCCCAACCTCCTGTTTCTGCATCCCAGCCTCTAGAAGTAGAAAATGCTGCGAAAACAGGTAATCCTCAGGATTCCAAAAAAATTTCTAGAGCATGGCAGCACTTTACTATGATACCTGAGACAGTTGGAACTGATAAGCCTAAGGCTGCATGTAATTACTGCAAAAAGAAGTATTTGGCTGGATCTAGGGCACATGGAACTAGCAATCTTTTGAATCATATCGATGGGAAGAAGTGCAAAGAATATGAAAAACTTCGGAAGTCTAAAAGTCATAAGCAAAGTATGATTGTCATTGACAAATCTCATCAAAATGTGGGGGATGGACTTCGGTTAGCTTCCTTTAGTACTTCTGAAGCTAGGAAAGCACTAGCCAGAATGATTGTGATTGATGAAATGCCTTTTCGAACAGTAGATGGTGAAGGTTTTCGAAATTACAGCATGACTTTCCAACCTAAATTCAGTTTGCCTTCTAGAAAAACTGTGCAAAGAGATTTTTTTAAGATATATGAAGAAGAAAAGGCAAAATTGAAGTCTATGTTGCATTCTCAGCGTGTTTGTCTTACCACTGATACTTGGACTTCAGTGCAAAATCTCAACTATATGTGTTTGACATCACATTGGATTGATGATAAGTGGAAGTTGCATAAGAGGGTTCTCAGTTTTCCAACCATAGCTAATCATAAGGGGGAGACAATAGGGCTATCTGTCATGAATTGTTTGAAAGATTGGGCAATAGAGAAGATCTTCACTGTGACCGTAGATAATGCTAGTACCAATGATGGTGCCATTAAGCATATCATTCGACGAACAAAAGAAACATTAGGCACAGTCTTGCATCATGAATACATTCATATGAGATGTTGTGCACATATTCTTAATATTATTGTTCAAGAAGGTTTGAAAGAGGTGGATGATGCTATTATCAAGATTAGGAATGCTGTTAGATATGTTAGGAGCTCTCCTGCTAGAATGCAGAGCATTTTGAAGTGTGTTGAGGAGGAAAAGATCAATTGCACAAATCGTGTATGCTTGGATGTTGAAACTAGGTGGAACTCAACTTATCATATGTTGGTTGTGGCTGAAAAATATGAAAAGGCTTTTGATAAGTTGGATTGTGAAGATTCTCGCTATTCTTTATACTTTCGTGGTGCTGATGAAGAAGTAGAACAATCTGATATCATTAGCCAGCAGAATGAGTTATTTGCTACCACAAGAGGAAGAGGAAAAAAGAGACAGAAATTGATGGGTCCCCCAGCATGTGAAGATTGGAAAAATGCCAGGTGCTTGGTTGAATTTTTGAGGTTATTCTATAATGCTACATTGAAATTTTCTGGCACTGCTCATGTCACTTCAAATAACTTTTTTCATGAGCTTGTGGCTGTGCAACAAGGGATTCTAAACATGACAAGGAGTGAGGATAGCATTTTAAGTGGAATGGCATTTAGGATGCTAGGAAAATTTTCCAAGTATTGGGTGCAAGTTGATAACTTGAATTCCTTATTGCATATCGCTGTAGTTCTTGACCCGCGATATAAACTAAGATATGTAGAGTTTTGTATGGAGATGATTTATGATGCCAAAGTTGCTGCCAGCTTTGCTGAAACTCTAGAGAGCAAGTTTTTGGAGTTATATGCATTTTATTTGAAGGAAAACTTGGATTCTGGAATTTTTTCAGCTCCTACTATTTCTCATGATTTGGCAAAGGTTGATCCAGCAAAAGCATTACGCCTGAAATTTGCAAAGAAAACTGCATCTCCAATAATTTCTGGAGGGAAATCTGAAGCTCAACGATACCTAGCAGATGTGGCGGAACCTGAAACAGAAGACTTTGATATTCTTATGTGGTGGAAGGTTCACTCAACCAAGTATCCAATTATTTCAAAAATGGCGAGAGATGTGTTGGCTGTTCCAATATCAACAGTGGCCTCGGAATCTACCTTTAGCACCAGTGGTCGTGTTTTGGATCCTTATCGGAGTTCATTGAGTCCAAATACCGTCGAGGCGTTGGTATGCTGCGAAGATTGGTTAAGAGCAACGCCAAAAACTGTTGAACCTAAGAATGATGATTTTGGTATCTATTTTTGGTTCATTTCTTTGATGTCAACTTTTTATACTTCATTACTAATATGTTTTCTTGTGCAATCAAACCATGTAGAGTCTCTAGAAGTTGTCGGTCCAGCTCCTGAACCTAGTGAAGCAAATGCTGGAAAATGATCACTGTCCTGCCAGATTTCATCATGTAAGAGTAATTTTAAGGTTCTAATATGTCTACACAGCTTACCATTATGGCATGAATCTGATTGCTTGGTCATCTAACTTTCAGGAGCATGCGATGGTTGGTTGAACTCTATGGCGTGATCACCATTGAACTAGGTTGCTCTGCTGAAAAGTGTCATTCAGATTCTACCTTTTTAGTTTTTTTAGTTTCTTGAGTATGAACATGAGAACTAGCATTTATTCAAGTGTTCTATAATTCTTTTTTGTTCTTGGATATTTGGTAAATGTCGTATTGGATTCTTGTCTGGTTGTTTTATAATCAGACGGTTGGTTTATTGGATTTGTTATATTTTTGTGTTTTTTTCTTTGGGGTGTGATGATTGTAGAGCAGATTTGTTGTTCTATAAATGTTGTTGGCAGCAACATCTTTTGCAGACAGTGGAAGTGCTTGATTTGCAAGAAGAACATGGGTGAAAGCTGCATCTGCAGAATGTGTTCACGCAAAAACTAGAAGCATGTTGATTCACCTACAGGCTGCCTTCACCTGGAGGATCCATATGGCACTCGTCGTGCATCTCATGTGGAAATGGAAAACGGGCAGGTGAATAATCTGGATGTCAAGCTGAGAGCAGAAAAGTGGCATTATTGTTAACACTTCATCTTTGTTTGTTTTCATTGATGAATTGCATTGTTGCCAAGCCTTTCTCTTGCATATAAGTATCTTGTTTTGAATGATGAACAGGTGACCAAGGATGTGCTGGGTTGTGTGACTCAAGAAGTGCAGGATATAAGCTATCCCAATACAAGTTTTCATTGAGGTAAAACTTGCTTCAACTGCTTCTATGCAAGAGTATAAGCTATCCCAATACATCCATGCCCTTAAAAAGCTAGCTACTCTCTTATTGATTTATATTGTTTGTCCTGTTAAAGTATCCAGAAATATAGTGTGTATATATGTTTTAGTTTTGATCAAGTGCAAACTTCTTTCAGCTTCTGGAATTTGATGTCATTCAAGATCATTTGGCTGCTTTTGTCGAGTCCCTACACAAAGCAAAGGCCATGATGTATGCTTCTGCTAATACATCATCAAAGCTAACCAGCATTTTACCTCCACTCAAAGGAGCTGTTTATAAGGAACACAAGAGACTTCTTGCTAGAAAGTCTGTAATAGAGAAAGGATAGGAACACAAGAGACCTCCTGTGATGTCACTTCGAGCATTGGCAGAGCTTGGGGAAGGCTGGGTGGTGCATTGAAATATTGTAGTATATAGGCTGGATTGGACATGTAATTTGCTGTGTTAAATTCTAAAATTGGTACATTTGCCTCCTGAATAGGAATCTGTCCAAAATGTATGCAACTTTCTTGGGAACGAAATGCAAGTTCATTTTGTTTGTGTTGATTTGTGGGTTAACCCGACGATCCAACCGCATAATCCGTCATCCGCCCAACCCAACCCGATAGTAAATGTGGGTGGGTGACGGATAAGAAATTGTCAATCCGTTAACGTGTGGGTGGATTAATTTTACAGCTAAAATCCACCCGATCCGCCCGTTGTCCACCCCTAGTGTCAGTAAACAACAAACAAACTAGGGAAAGAAATTTACTCAGAATTTTGGGCATCCGCCTGATCTAACCCGAATGGGTAGGGTAAACCACAATAATAATAAAAAGAGAACACGGTGGTATGCGTAAAATCCGAACCCGAATATCACGAGTAATGAGCGTGTATGGTTTTCTCACTATCCAATCCGAAGCGGCCCGATTATACATACACACAATATTTGTATAGATCGTCAATTTTTATTATATCTCTTAGTATTGGTGTTTTTTATATATATTTTTTCACTTGTGAACTGTTAATATATTTGTGATTAGTGATTGTTAATATATTTGTGATTAGTGATTAGTAACGAAGTAGTTGAAAAAATAATTGAAATATTATCTATGAATATTCATGAATACCTGAAACCTAATAAAAATATAATATAATTTTAATGTTCTACTCAAGTCTTGCACAAATATAAATATGAATAAAACTCGAACTAGTTAGGAATAGGATAGAGTAATGGACAGTCAATATATGTTCGGATATGTTGTCATCTCTAAAACAAAGAGATCCCTCCTCTAGGCACGGGATACAGTCAGTAACTACACGCACACCGTAGATCTAGGGGCGGATCCCTCCTCTATAGGCTAGGCTGAATGCGGGATCCGGAAGGGCATTTTTATCCATTTATAAATTTTAATTTTTTTTATTATATCCCGTTTTTAATGGATGTTTTTTTAAAGGAGGAGACCACTTTTAATGGCTGTCTTTTGAAAGGAGGAGAGAGAAATAATCATTTCTCTCTGCAAGTCTCCTTTTTCTTTCTTTCTCCCTTCCTTCTATTACTTTTTCTCTCCCAATCTCATTTCCAGATCCTTTCTCTTTCTCTCTTTCTTTTTCTCTCCCAATCTCCTTCTCCATATCTAGATCTGCTTCATTCTCTTCTTCTTCGTTTTTATTCGGGTTAAAGACACATTTGGTCACTGAGATTACAAAATCGGGACATGTTTAGTCACTAGAAAAAGTTAATATCAAATTTGGTCACTACAATTACTAAAACTGGACGCATTTAGTCACTCGCCGTTAGTCTCCGTCCAACTCCGTTAATGAAGTCCGTTAAGTACTGATGTGGCAAACAGAATTGCCTAATCAGCCGGATATAACCCAACAAAAATAAAATCCGACCCGCCACGTCATTATAACCCGCCACCTCATTAAAACCAACCCAACCCATGACCCAACCCTACCCAACCCTTCTTCCTCCTTCCTCCCCAACCCAATTTAGGGTTTTCCCCATCCCATCCTCTCCCGCTTTCACCATCCTCTCCCCTCCCCCGGGTACGGCACTGGTGGAACAAGAAGAAGGGTTTTCTCCCGGAGATTCATACTCGATCGATGTGTACTGCGGGAAGAGCTCGGCGGGGAGATGCTCTTCGCTGATGGAATCGTACTGCGGGGGGAAGTGGTTGCGCTGGAAACAGAAGGGGCAGATCCAGATCTTGGCCGCGAAATCGACGATTGCGAAAGGGTTGAGCACGGAGCGGCAGGTGCGGCAGCGGAGAGGAGCGTAGGGCAGGACCGGCATGTTGGGGAAGGGCTTGATCGGAGTGTAGATCGCGGCGATCGGAACGACGCAGTTGGCCGCTTCCTATTTGGTTCCCGGAAGCACATTCCACGGCATCCTTACGCCGTCCTGAGTCTCCAGCTCCAGGAATTCCGCCATTTTTTCTCCAGTTGGATGGGATGGGGAAAACCCTAAATTGGGTTGGGGAGGAAGGAGGAAGAAGGGTTGGGTAGGGTTGGGTCATGGGTTGGTTTTAATGAGGTGGCGGGTTATAATGACGTGGCGGGTCGGGTTTTATTTTTGTTGGGTTATATCCGGCTGATTAGGCAATTCTGTTTGCCACATCAGCACTTAATGGACTTTATTAACAGAGTTGGACGGAGACTAACGGCGAGTGACTAAATGCGTCCAGTTTTAGTAATTGTAGTGACCAAATTTGATATTAACTTTTTCTAGTGACTAAACATGTCCCGATTTTGTAATCTCAGTGACCAAATGTGTCTTTAACCCGTTTTTATTCTCTCCATCAATCGACGAAGAAAAATTGCAGCCACCCTCTTTCATTGCGTTTATTCTCTTCATCAACTCGCTGGCCTCAATTCCGATCTTTCTCCTTTTTGTGGCATTTGGTGTTCTTGATTGCGGAGGAAATGAGACGAGACAGAAGACGAGTTTTTTCCCATCTCCCTCCTTCTGTTTTTTTAGGTAATATATATTAATATTACCATACTATACCATACGGTATTGTGTGGTAACGAAATATATATTGATATTACCACACTATACCATATGGTATTGTGTTTAACGAAATATATATTGATATTACCGCAATATACCATATGGTATTGTATGGTATTGTGTGGTACGAAATGTATATTGATATTACCACACTATACCATATGATTAGCAGATGAAAGTCGTAATTGTATATATATATTAAGATTAACACACTATACAATATAGTATTGTGTGGTAACGAAATATATTTTTATGGATATCATGTTTTACCACATAATACCACATGGTATTGATGGTTTTTAAATTTGAAATTTTACTTTTAACATGTTCTACCATATGATATGTAATTAGATTTGTATTTTTCAGTAGCTTGTTTTACCAGGTAATACCACGTGATATTTGTATGGTAGTGTATGGTAATTTTTTTTAGCAAGTGATAATCATATTCATATTTGTAATTGTTGTCCATAGCACTGAATTATTTAACAAAAAAATAATTATTCAATTCTTTTAGTTGGAATTAAAGGAGAGATAGTTGGGATGGTCAGATTCATTTTTGTTGTAGAGATAGAGTTAGAGTGCAGACAGCAGATGCATTTCTCTTCTTCTTTTAGTTGTAGATGGGAGAGAGAAGAAATAATATAATTTTTCTTTTAATAATAAAACAGAGTGAGAGAGAGAGGGGAACACGCGTGAGACGAGGGAGTGGGGTCCGCGTCTGGTCAATAATCAGCATCAGCATTAAATGGGGTGTGGGCAATTTACCCTAATGCCCCTCCGTATTTAATTTAAATAAAAAGAAAAGACCGACACGTGGGGTCAGGGGAAGGGGTTACTGATGATTACTGATGGGAGAGTTACTGACCTGATCTGCTCTATTAAATAAATTGTTACTCGTTGCCATCTCTCATAGTGTCCCATTCTCTAGACCTTTACCAAATAAATTGTTACTCGGACTAGAACAGTAAGGGATAAGATCAGGTGACAAGGGGGTCCCTTAGTCACATGACTAAGCTAATCTCAACCATTCGACCTCATTAAAATCTAATGGTCCTAATTTATTCAGTTTAATGAAGGATAAGATGGCAATTACACATTTAATTTATTTAACAATTAAAATAAAAAAATCACATCCGACGTGGTATCTCCCGCCCCTCGCCGGTATTATTTTTGCCGGTGACCATCTGACGGTCCCTCGTTGAGATCATTTTTGTCGGAACCCCTCGCCGGAATTATTGACATGGCCTTCTGGCCATTCTTTCTTTCCTGGGGATTATTGCCATGGCCTTCTGGCCATTCTTCGTTTACTGGGGATTTTTCCCAGGAGAGAGAGAGATTTTTGCTGATCGGAGGAGATTTTTTCGGCGACCAGCGACGACGGAGAAGGATTTCCGACGACAGTGTTAGATTTGTGATGTTTGTTGATCTATTTTGTAATGTTTGTATCGATTCGGCTTGTATTGTTCATCATTCTTGTTTGTTATTTTTTAGTGACATTTTGTACGGTTAGTATGCTTTGTACTATTTGTCGGTTTATTTTGTAATGTTTGTACGCTTTGTTATTTACTAAAGTTTGTCGGTTTTCTTTTTTAATGTTTGTAAACTTTGTTATTTTTGTGCACCATGTTTATCATTTTTGTCAACCATGTTTGTAATGTTTTTTATGTATAAAAAACATTACAAATTTGACTTTTGGATAAACTCCTCTATATAGGGATGAAGCCTCCAAAGTCAACCCGAGTGTTTTTTCGAGTTTGTATGGATTGTCGGTCTAGTTTGTCTTTTTTGTTCACCATGTTTGTAATGTTTGTATGTCTAAAAAACAACCGGGTTGACTTTGAGATGGAGCCCTCTATATAGGGATGGAGCCTCTAAAGTCAAACCGGTTGTTTTTATTTTTTGTATGATTTGTATTGTTTGTTGGTCTAGTTTGTATTGTTTGTACAGTCATATGTCTGTAATGTTTGTAAATCTGTTTGTATGTTTTGTCGTTGTAGTTTGTACGGTTTGTATGTTTGTATGGTTTGTACTGATTGTAAGTCTGGTTTGTATATTTCGTAATTTTCCATAATACCCAAACTACCCCTGTCAATTAGGGGTGAACAAACACACCCGCAAACCGACCCACCCGTCCAACCCGATCCAACTCACCCGTATTTATCGCTAAAACTAAGGTTTTGGGTTGGGTGAGGGTTTTCTTTTCTACAACCCGCCTCTTTTGGGTTGGGTTTGGGTTTTGGATTACACAACCCGTAGAACCCAACCCAACCCGTGTTCCAACTATTGATATGAGTTCGTATCCAAAAAATATTTATGTCTTATATAACCATACTTATTAGAAAATTAAGATATTTCGCCATATTTTTCTCTCATGGTCTCATTAATCTAATGCATTTTTCGGGTTGAAGTTTAGACATAGATTTAATATAGCTATGATTCACGTAATCATTTTTCTTGTGTACGATTTTAATAGAACTATATATTGTGGATGCGTTCGTTTATAACATTTTTATCCTATTTCAACAAATGTCGTGAAAAAAAACTAGATATATGTTGACGTAAATCACATTTTATTCGTTTGAAATTTTAATTAGTTATAAAATATTTTTATGGTGTAGAATAATTACATTTTTGTGTTGGGTTGGGTTTTTACTTAAAAATATCATCAACCCGACCCGACCCAACCCAATTAGAAACAAACCGTAGGGTTTTAATTTTTTTGGTGAGTTTGGGTGTAATATTTCACAAACCGTAATGCATGGGTCGGGTGATTAAAATGGCTAAACCCGGACCACCCGACCCATGTACACCCCTACTGTCAATAATTAAATAGTCCTTCCCACTTTTTAACCGTCAGATTTTTGTGTCCAGATCTAAGGGCTGGGAGGGGCTTAGCCAAGTGACTAAGCACCCCCTAGTCACTTGAACACTAAGTTCTTTAACAAAAAAAGTATATATATACGAGGTAGAAATAAATTGGTTAAAAAGTTGAGAAAAATATTTTAAATTAGTGTAATAAAATGTTTAAGTTGGTAACGAGTAATGAGTAAGTTACTCGATGCGCTGGCCTGAACAACTCGAAACCCGATCCGCCCGCAACCCGCCCGACACAAAACCCGATGTACCCACAACCCGATTGGAACCTGAACCCAATTGAACCCGAACCTGATAAACCCGCAATCCGACTAACCCAAACCTGATGAACCTACTACCGACTAAATCGTAACCAGTTTGAGTCCGAATCCAATTGAACCAAGCCCGAACCCGCCCGATTGACCTATACTCATAAGTCATAAGAGTAACTTTGGTTCCTCCCGTGAGTTAGTAATTAAAGCCCAAAAACACTAACGACACAAAAACCCATTCGATTGACGCCGAGAAACCGACGGCACCCGGCCAGAGCACAATCCCCGTTTCTTCCCTTCATTTCTGGTTCACGCTTCTCTCTTTCTGTATGTTTCCCGGGAAAGCAAATCCATTTCCGAGAAAGTGAAGCAAGCCGACGACGACGACGACATTGCACTCTTCCGAGTAAAGATCCAAAACTCAGTAGATCGCACATGGTTAGATCGTGATTGCGACTGTCCCCGCGAGTAAATCAATTGCCCCGTCCTTCCTTGCCAATCATCTTCTTTATAAAAGAGACGGAGGCTAACACGAGGGAGGAGAGCTGGATCCGTCTCAGGAACCAGCGCAGTCCTTGAAGGCACCAGCCGCCGCCGCAGCCGCTGCCACTGCCACTGCCACTAGCAGTAACGGTCAGATCCGCTACCGCTCGCCTTCCTCCGCCGAGCTACTGGAGATCGGAGCCACTTCCCCGACTCATTCCGACCATCCCTCCTCCGACAAGATGAACAAGCGCAACGCCCTCCGCCACGAGAATTTCTCCGATAAGATCCACCGGCATCGGAGCGTTCTCTTAGTGATCTCCATCCCTCTGCTTCTGATCGGATTCGTCTTGTTCGTCATGCCCGGCCGGGAGGAGTACGAGATCACTAACCGTAAATTGTCCCCCAATTTGAAGAACTCTAGGAACTACGCTGTTATATTTGATGCCGGTAGTTCCGGGAGTCGAGTTCATGTCTTCTGCTTCGATCCCCGTATGGATCTCATTCCAATCGGCGGAGAGCTAGAGCTTTTCGTCCAGGTAATTTTTCTCGATCTTTGGCTGCAATTCGGTCATAGAATTCCGATTCCTGTTTGATTCTAGTTCTCCCTTGTGGACTTGCTTTGTGAATTACCGAATTGTGATGGCTGACATTGCTCTGTTTTGTCTTGTTTTAGCTTAAGCCTGGTCTGAGCTACTATGCCAAGGACCCACGAGCGGCAGCGGAGTCCCTAACTTCTCTTCTCGATAAGGCAGAAGCTGCTGTGCCCAAGGAATTGCGATCCAAGACCCCAGTTAGAGTCGGGGTGAGCAATCTTTCATGTTTCTCTTCTGTTGTAGTATCATTGTTATGGATAATGTCAAGCAAATGCTGGTGCGCAATGTTGGATTCTGAAATTGCTTCACTGTAGGCGACTGCAGGCTTGAGGGCATTAGAAGGTGATGCATCTGACCGAATTTTGCAAGCGGTAATGAGGTCTTTCATTTCAATATTATGTCACTTTTTCTACCTTGTTGGGCTGCAATCTCATTACTATGTTCATTGTGACTTGTGCTTTAAGGTTAGGGATCTTCTGAAAGATCGAAGCTCCTTGAAATCTGATGCAGATTCAGTCACTGTCTTGGATGGGTCTCAAGAAGGTTCTTATCAGTGGGTATGTTGTTCTGTCTTGTATGTTTACTCTCTGGTACTAACCTCATAGATCTTTTTCCTATGTTTCATTGTACAATGACTAATAAGCCACAATACCTTAAAAAAAATCAGTTTGGTGACTCTGTATTAGCTGTGTAAAATACTTGAACGTTTACTCCATGTTAGAGCTGTATCCAGTAGTTTGCCATTTAAGTGGAGTTTCCTTCTATGTGACAAGGATTAGTTCACTTAGGTTTAACCTGATCTGCCAACCAGGGGTTCAAATTCCAAAGTTATTGCCATTGTTAAGTCTAAAGAACTTCATGTTGGTAAAAAAAAACTTCGACTGTCTATTTGCATTGAAGGGGGCAGACAGCGGTGTTTAAGCAACAATTGGTTTCTTGCTCATCTTGTTTTCTTCAGCATCCACTGGTGATTGTTTGCTAAAGTATCCACTGGTGATTGTTTTCTTCATAATCAATAAGAAGAATATTAAGAAAATCCCTAAATCCTATTCTCTCCCAAATCCTCTCAATTCTCCTCTATCCCTAATCCGGCCGTCGGCCATTCTTTCTTGTTCTTCCTCAATTCTCTTCTCAAATCCCTAATTCTATTTTCCAAATCCCTAATTCCCAAACATCAAACCCGTTAGAAACTTTGTTTCTAACACTCTGACTTGAACGATACTGAAATTATGATACTACCTCATCTAGTGTTGCTCAAAGAAAGTCAGGAAAACATGCCAGTAACATGATTTCTTGATGAGTTGATGTTGCCCCAAGTTTTGAATATGGGTTGTAGCACATGGGAACAGAATTGAACATTTTTATTTTCCCTTCTGACAAGGGAGTTCGATTGGAGTGTTGTTCACTCAGTCTTTCATCTCCTTTCTTCAAATTTCCCCCCTCCCAGGTCACAATTAATTATCTCTCAGGAAAGTTGGGGAGGTCTTATGCCAGTACAGTTGGCGTAGTTGATCTTGGTGGTGGATCTGTTCAAATGGCATATGCCATATCTGAGGCTGATGCAGCAAAAGCTCCAAGGGTGAAAGATGGAGAAGATACCTATGTACACAAAATGCTTCTGAAGGGAACAACATATTACCTCTATGTTCACAGGTCCTCTTCCTCAAGCTTCATATCTAACATAATTTTACCCATCCATTCTTCTTCTGATACATTAGAAACATCCATTCTTATAACCAAATTTGTGTGGAATGTGACACATGCAGCTATTTGCACTATGGACTATTAGCTGCTAGAGCAGAGATTTTAAAGGTTTCTGATGGCTCTTCCAATCCATGTGTTTTGGGTGGTTATGATGGTACGGTTAATTGCTTTTTCATTGGAGAAACATCATTATTTTCATGTCATAGCAACACATTTGTAAATAAAATTAGTTTCCGTAATATAATTATCCGTGCTTTCCAATGATCACTAAAAGGTGTGCGAATCAAAAGTTTAATTCTTTTCGTCTTTCTGGCAGAGTCTCAACTCGTTTGCAAACAGGTCACCGAGTGCTTACTGGGATCTTATCTGCTTTTCCTTGCAGGTTCATACTCGTACGGAGGAGAGAACTTCAAGGCTTCCTCATCTCCTAGCGGTTCTAACTTGGAAGAGTGCAGAAGGGTAGCCACGAGGGCACTGAAAATTAATGAGACGACATGTGTGCACATGAAGTGCACCTTTGGTGGAATATGGAATGGTGGTGGGGGGGATGGCCAAAAGAACCTATTCGTTGCTTCATTCTTCTTTGACAGGGCTGCTGAGGTACATATCCCGTATTCCCTCTTCTTTATTGCTGATTGTGGAATCAGAAGGGATTATATATACCCTTTTCTCCACCTTGCTCCAGTTGCTAAGAGTGTGAAATATCAAATATGAGTGCAGGCAGGTTTCATTAATCCCAAAATACCTGTTGCCAAGGTTCGTCCATCGGATTTCGAGGAAGCAGCTAAGCGCGCTTGCGAATCTAAGCTTGATACTGCCAAAGCTACTTACCCTGGTGTCGAAGAGGGTAACCTGCCATATCTCTGCATGGATCTTGTCTACCAGTACACATTGCTTGTTGATGGATTTGGTAAGCGGCATAAACTTTTGCTTTTGGTTTCTCTCTCACTTTGTTGGATGAGCGACGCAAGTTGCTAAGATGAACTTTCCCTACTTCGTAATGTATTGTTCACCTGCACACTTAACTCTTTATATAGGTCTGAGCCCCTGGCAAGACATCACGCTGGTGAAGCAGGTTAAATACCGAGATTCGTATGTTGAAGCGGCTTGGCCATTAGGTAGCGCCATTGAGGCTGTCTCAGCGTTATGATTTTGATTCAGATACGGGGAAAGAAGAGGTAGAGAAGTGCTACATTTTGATTATTGTTTGGCTTGTGCCTATGGCATAATTCATTAGACGCCGAGCTCCCATTTTTTTTACTATTACATATTGTTGTTCCTGTTATCTTCATTCTGTAACTAGGTTGGTGAACATCGTGATTTGTTATACCATTTATCTGAATTTTGATTCAATTCAATTGACCTCGTCTTCTGTTTTATGTGCTTGTATCAGTCATTTGTTTCTTTTCTTTCCTTAGAAGCCCTTGCTTCAAACCATCAGCTAGGGTTCTTCTGGCGGTTGCCGGATAAGGTCAGTAACCCCTCTAGATAAGACGTGGACTTTTCGTGGGTTCCAAATCTAAGAGTTGGAATTAAAAGTTTTTTATTCTCTAATTTTTTTAATGGGCTTATATCTTATTCATTCTAACTTGCATTTCACTATGACCAAAAAATATCACCCCATACCACCTTAGTACGTGAGTAGTCTCTTGTGATACACAATGTTGAAAGTTGTAAAAGACAGTTAGAATATTTCTACTATCATGTATTCAGTCATTCTACAGTCAGGTATGTTCTTATCACCATGGTACACTTCCCTATCGCGTGTCATGCTCTTATCTAATACCAAACAATATCACTATGGTATAGATTGGTACTAAATGTCTCAATTTTTTATTCCAAAAATATATCAAAGTGTATATCATTTTGGAGAGTACAATTAATTTGGTTTATGTGTGCAAAAAAATCATTTAAATTCGAACTTAAAACGAAAAGTTATAGCCCTTTAAACTTTAGAGGAGAAAATGTTAGAAATCTTCCATTAATGATGATGTGGCACTTATGTGACCTGTTATGCATGGTTGTACACCATAAGTTACTAAGGGGATCCGCTCTCGGTATTTGCACGAAGGTAGGGGGAGGGACGTTCCAATTTCCCAAAGACTTGTGTTAGAGGCAAGACCCTCCATTAAACTTCGGAAAGAAGCGTAAATAAATTTAGTGATTAAGGCTGGATGGTCATAGTTTACAGTAAAGTATTTTTTCTTAATATTTTGTGGTTTAAACAATGAACTAATGGACCAGTTAAACCTGATTGGTTCATTTGATCACATCAAACTGTAACTACCGTTGGTCCATCACTAATCGTCCAATCAAATGAAACGAACCACTATTGTAACGGGTTAAGTGGTTCTATTGGCCCAACCATAAATTCGGTTCGATTCTTATAACAATGTTATTGAGAAAAGTTAGTGGGATTTCGTATAAACGGTTAGTACTCTGAAAAATAGTGGAAGTAGTATCAGTTTTACATGGATGAGGTGGACATGTAGATTATATAGAAGATATCTATTTACATTACTAGCTTGTACCCGATCAGAATATTTAAAATTATTATTTGATCTTAAGCTATACTAATAAAGGTTTGTATAATGAATTAATAGTTAGTATTAATTAGTCACATTGAAGTTGTTTAAAATTTAGGTTATGCACTCGATTGAGATTTCCAATCATTTTCAATCTACGGAATATCAATCGTTGACCTAATATGGTTTGATTTAAATCATGTGGAATAAAAGAATGATATAATGAGAAAGGAATGAAGGGCTAAGTTGTATAGCTAGAATTGTATTTTTGTTTGAATTCTAATTTAAACCCAAATAGTTAGTTAAGCGAAGCCAAAAACAACAATCATATCATTGTCAAATTCATTAAACCCGTTAGTGTAATCAAGTACGTAGACATCATTTTTATTGCTTGGTAAGCTAATACTGTAACATCCTAGCTCGGTCGAGCACTACTTTTACCAGAATGCCCTTGAGTAATCAAAATAACTCGAAATGAAAAGAACAACATAAATAATTTCAAGTCACTATAGAGAATTCCTCTTAACAAATCATAAATGAACATCTCTCAAGCCTACTAATAAAAGTACGTGAGTGAAAAGGGTTCACTTGAAATCTTTTTTCATCACTAACCCTTGTGAAGATGACATTTTGAGCAGCAGCTTCCTCCTGACGAGTGATCGATTACTTCCGTTTCCTTGCAGCTCCTGAGTGCGGGCGATGGGGTCAGTCCTAGTCCTAATTTCGTTATCACACATAAATCGAGATGCACATGCAATACTTATGGTATGTTATTGGGTACATTAGTAAAAGTATCTTATTATTAACATATTCTTGCTTATAATCTTTTCTTCTTACTTAAATTGATATGGGATCTAGCCCTCGACCTAACTAGCACATCCGTCCGGCACCAACGTATCATGAACATAACCTCCTCATCTACAAGGAGTAACATAGCATACCTCCCCATCTACAGGGAGTAGTGATGACCGCGTCCGACACCGATCGTGACGTACATATCATGACCCCTCATCTACAAGGTGCTCCTCATCTACAAGGAGTAAGGTGACCGTATGCGACTAGTTAAGAGAGGGTCTTATTCTTACTTGTTAACTTGATATCTTATACGTGCTTGCTTGAAACAACCTCTCACACGATGGAGAGACATAGTTAATCTTGTACTTGCTTACTTGACTTGAGAAGTGGAGCTTACATAGATGATCTCCCGCACAATGGGAAGATACAAGCTTATTAACTTGCACTTAATTAACTTATAATTGAACGTGTATTTTCTTGACTCATAACGTAGTTTACTTATACTTCATGATGATATGCATACCTAATGTAAAGACTGAACGTAAATAAATTAACTTAATAAGAAAGTTAAAGCAAGAACTGAAATGCATGATAACGAAAACTACTCTAGCCCCCTTTAACCACGCGCCTTAATTTCAAGTCGATTATCAATTTATATCTTGCCCCGGTGATGACAAACGTTCTTATAGGCCTTGTACGTGTCCATGCACCGTTTTTCTTCTTCCTTTACCTTTCCCCTCAGGATAGAACACGTTCAGCTCACCTGATTATATACCCGTATAGTAGTTTTACATCAATAATCCATTTTCGATTTCATTAATTCAACCCCCTTAATATAATTAAACTGCCATACATACCATCCACGTAACTAAACTTAGTTACTAATCCATCACAATATATTTCCATTGCACTCGTCCATACATATATATAAAAGCATTCGTAGCTCGTCCCTTTAAATAATGACCTACTACAACTACCACCGTCTCCAATTATCACCGAGTCTACAATAAAATGGACGAGGACAAATCCATTGCCTCTAATACGTGACTTCCTGATCGATGGTCGTTTGCGTCCTCCGCAACCTTGTCGTTGCTATTAGAGCTCCAAGAACGGATCGGAGCTGTGGGATTTGGCAATGGCTCGCGGCGGGAGAGATCGTGCGATCCTTCGTTCTGGTTAGCCAGCCGCTTCTTCCATTAGCCGGTCGCTTCTCCCGGTAGTGGTGTCTTGGCCGAAGGGATGAGGAGGTTCGACGGTGGTGATGTGTTCTGGTCGGCGGGAGCTCACGGGATGGTGGCTGTGTCTTGTGCGGAGGAAAATAATTGGGTTCTAATTTGGGGAAAAGTTAATCTGCTAACTTGAAAATTCGTTAGCAGATACTAACTGATATCCAAAATACATGAACTAGTATCCAAGTACTAAAGTATCTAGAGAGCACAGACTAGTATTCAAAGTTTGCTAACTGATATCCACCATGAATCAACTATTATCCCAAATTCACAAACTAATATCTAGACAACACTGAATAGTATCCATATAACACATAATTAGTATCCCGATAACACTTAAGAGTATCCAGATAACACATAAGGGTATCCATATTGAATACTAGTTGGTTGATTGTGGATATTAGTTGGTATCTGCTATCTCGATACTAGTTTGTGATGTTTTGAATACTAGTATGTGTTATCTAGATACTCAACAGACTTGGATATTAGTTCATATATTTTGGATATTAGTTAGTATATACTAACGAATTTTCAAGTTAGCAGAATAACTAGGCTGCTAATTTGCGGCTCCCTCGGGAAAAGTTAATCTGCTAACTTGAAGATTCGTTAGCAGATACTAACTGATATCCAAAATACATGAATTAATATCCAAGTACTAAAGTATCTAGAGAGCACAGACTAGTATTCAAATTTTACAAACTGATATTCACCATGAATCAACTATTATCCCAAATTCACAAACTAATATCTAGACAACACAGAATAGTATACAAACAGCACATAATTAGTATCCAGATAACACATAAGAGTATCCAGATAACCCATAAGAGTATCCATATTGAATACTAGTTGGTTGATTGTAGATATTAGTTGGTATCTGCTATCTGGATACTAGTTTGTGATGTTTTGAATACTAGTCTGTGCAATTTAGATACTTAGCAGACTTGGATATTAGTTCATACATTTTAGATATTAGTTAGTATATACTAACGAAATTTCAAGTTAGCAGAATAACTAGGCTGCCCTCGTACTAGGTTTTGTGTAGCTATATATTTATAGTTGGAGGGTTAAGAAGCTTGTGGGGTGAGCGGCTTCTCCCCTTTGAATTTAGGTTAGGGTCAACAATTATATTCGTTTAGGTTTAATAACTGATAGGGGTAATTTAGGAATTTCCTAAAATTCTGGGTACGGGTGTGACATTTCCCTCCCCTTAAGAAAATTTCGTCCCCGAAATTAAAATCATGCTAACATAAAAAGTTGAGTCTTCACTCTTAATACTACCGACATCATAATACTACTAACCGACCATATTAAACTAATAACCAATTCAAATAATCAAGAACAATAGTTCCATCTCAAAGTCTTTCAATCACCAACAAAGTCACTTCAAAGCGTTGGTTCATCCCTTCCATCTTCTCCACAACTACTGGCCATCTTTTCCACAGCAAAGACTCTTGGTCGTCCACCAGCTCTGGACATCTGGCTCTGATCACGACTGACATTGTGGGTATTGGTGCCATTGAAATGTCCACCATTGTTGTTGCTGTCGAAGTTGTTAGTCTGACCACTGACCCTACTTCCTGACTGTGCCCTACCCCCAGCTACTGATGGCTCAGAAATAACCCTTATGGTCTGCAAGTCGTGGGCAATTCCACTTTATATGTCCCGGCTCACCGCACTCAAAACAGACACCCATATTACGCCTGCACTCACCCAGATGACGCTTGTCACATTTTGGGCATAGTGGATATAGTTGTTGTGTTGGTGCATACCTCGTAAAAATCTCCTGGTTCCAGGACTGCTGTTGGCTAGATAAACCAGATCCCCTCTTGAAAGGTTGGGTCGAGTAAGTCGTGGCCCCAGAGTTGGTTGGCTCCTTCCTCTTCTTCGTACCAAGCCTCGCATCCCTCTCCTGTTCAGCCATCTTCTCATCCCTCTCAATGCGAAGGGAAGCTCGGTATGTAGTGGCTTGAGATGCCCTCTCTGCTTCTCCCATACATTTTCTTAGTTCTGCTCTCAAACCCCAAACATAACGATCTCGCATCTCTGCTGCAGTCCGGTACACGGGATCAGCATACTTGCACAACTTCTTGAATAACTCTGCGTATTCTATGACACTCTGCCCCCACTGCTTCTCCAACTTCATGAAATCCTCCCTCTTATTGTCCCGGACTGTTTGGGGGATGTATTCATCGAGGAACATCTTCACAAACTGGTTCCAGGTGATCTCGAGAGGTACCATTTCACTCTCCTGCTGGAGATGCCACCAATCCCTAGCAGTTCCCTGGAGCACATGGACAGCCATGGCGATCCTATCCTCATCATTATCAATACAAAGCTCATCCAAAGTTCGAGTGAGCTTCAATAGCCATGCATCGACCATGTCGGGGTCAGAGGACCCCTCGAAGTCAACCACCCCCATTTTCCTAAGAAGGGTATAGTTTGGGGGTGGCTGCCGACCATCACCCTGATGAGAGCTCTCGCTATTCATACTCCTACACAAGTTCAATGACATTGTGTCAAAACCTTGGAAACATTGCACTTGTTAGTAGACGAGACTGGGTGCTCTAAAACGATTTTTCGGTTTTCTTGAAAACTTGCTTGAAAACTTCTTAAAACCTTTAATACTCGTAGGAAACATGGAGACCGAATTCCCAGTATCTCACTTACAAAGTGGAGACAGAGGGAGACCGACTCTGATACCAAAATGTAACACCCTAACTCGGCCGAGCACTACTTTTACCAGAATGCCCTTGAGTAATCAAAATAACTCGAAATGAAAAGAACAACATAAATAATTTCAAGTCACTATAGGAAATTCCTCTTAAGAGTCTTAACAAATCATCAATGAGCATCAGTCTCAAGCCTACTAATAAAAGTACGTGGGTTCACTTGAAAATTTTTGTCATCACTAACCCTCGTGAAGATGACATTTTGAGCAGCATCTTCCTCCTGACGAGTGATCGATTACTTCCGTTTCCTTGCAGCTCCTGAGTGCGGGCGATGGGGTCAGTCCTAGTCCTAATTTCTTTATCATACATAAATCGAGATGCACATGCAATACTTATGGTATGTTATTGGGTACATTAGTAAAAGTATCTTATTGTTAACATATTCTTGCTTATGAGAGTATGATAATCATGGTTTCTAATTTCAGGGGTGCCCCCCACTATCAATTATATATATATTTTGGTCCATAGGTAAATTACTACCGGGGGTTGGATAATCGTTTTCCCAAATTTTAGGGGTGTTCCGGGACACCCCCAAAGTCCCCTAGGTCCGCCCTGCTCCCAAGTTCCCAACTATATTCTCTTTTTCCCCTCCATCGACAGCATGGTCACTAGTTGTCGATGGTGATGGAGGAGGCATGCAGCGAGGGCGTTGATTGGATGGAGTCGGCGGAGGAGGGTAAGATCTGGAGACTCTATTTTTTCTCCAGCAGCAATGTGGTCAGTTGGCATCGAAAATGATGTAGGACGCAGGCGGCGAAGGCGTCAATGAAGTTGTCGAAGGAAGGGTCAAATATGGAGGATCTCTTTCTTCTCCAGCAGTATCATGGTCACTGGTTGTAGTTGGTGATTAAGGAGGCATGTGGCTAGGGCGTTGAATGCGATGGAGGAAGCATTTAGCGGTGGTGACTACAATAACTTGTGAGATGAAGGTCCCCATCAGATTCACCGTATTGGAAGTCAACATGCGTCTCACCATTACCTATGATGATGATATGAAGGAATGAGGAGTATCAAGATATGAGCTCACATTTAGATTAGTCGTATTCTGAAGCAACGATGAAGAAAAATAGTGGCGAAATCCATATTTGTTGCACTCTACGACATCATCGGTAACACACTTCAATGTTGAAACCATATTTAGTAGAGGGTAGTGTAGCTGCCAAGGTTTGGGGAGGGCAACATTAGGACTTCTTATTCAGGTTATATGGAGGGTGCGTAATATTTCTGATGAACTAGGAGTGTATTGATTTGATTATTAGTGGTTTTGTAGTAGTATTTCATATTTTAGACATTCTCTAGTAGCTATGTATTACTAGCGATTTTTATTTTAATAAGCATTGGTTTTTTGTTAACTAGTAGTACTGTTTTATGTAGTTACTGTAGTTTATTTCGTTTTCTCAAATTAATTGCATGGTGTTCATTAGATTGTCTGGGAGTGCATATTGGGCAAATGTGGTATTGGTGTGACATTTTTTCTCTAAGCAAATCCCAAAGGCTATGGTACCTTGGGAGATCACCCCAATGGGGGGGGGGGGGGGGAGAGAAAAGACATACAAAGAGGGGAAGAAATCATGAAGAAAGGGGTCTTCAAGTGATGGAAATCCTCCTCCATTTCTTCTCCTCCTCTTTTTATCCTTCCTTCAGCTTCTCTCTCTAATCTCTCTCTTAAATATGAATATCTAAAAGCCATCTTCTCAAGGATAGGAGACCCCTATTTATAGAATTCTGAGATTTTGGGCAAGTTCACGGGCAAGGGCAGAAGTTTGCGGTATGATGTTTCCACTGCGGTTCCATGCCATTTGAATAATTAAGCTCAAGCAGAACGAGGCATGGTTTTAGGCGATTCTCAGTCGCGATCCTTGATGTCGCGGCTGTGATCTTTCTCGCGGTCTCGTAAGAAGGTGGCTGTGAGTTGACTACCGAAAACTTCTGTTTCTCATTCGTTGGTTGCCTCTCCAAGTTTGTGCCCATAGCTCCAGAGATCTCAATCGCGATCTTTAGGTTAGAGGCCGCGATCATAGTTCTTTCTTCGCGTCTTCTGTTCCCGGTCGCGATCTTCCTTTTATAGACCGTTATCTTCAGCTTGTCGCCCAAAACTCTACACTTGTATCCTTTTTCGTACCTAATTCAGATGTATCGTCTAAAGCACCATAATGATGACGAGGAAGAACAATGGGGTTGGGAACACATATGAAACTTCTAATGGGGGAATAATCATTAGGCGAAGACGATGACAATCAGACCAATTTACTACCCCAATGATTATCAATCCCACAGAACAGATGTTCACTTCGGCAATCTCAATAACACAATATACTACGATATTCTGAAACACGAATACAAACATGAGAACCACGATGTAAGAAATACGAGATATGATTAACGAAACGAAAAGGGAGAAACAAGAGTTTAAAATGGAAAGGGACAAAATATCAGCTAACTTCTAACACGAGAAAGAAATAACAAAGTCTAAGTGTAGTAGGGGGTTGTGTATCCCTTTTCTTCTCTTGAAAGCTTCTATTTATAGGTAACAGCAGGTTTGACATGGCCTAACAACACGACCGTGTTCCAGGCAGTGTTCACAGCTGGTCGCTTGATCGATTTGTCAGCATTGCAGAGATTGATTGATTTCCTCACTCAACGTGATCGGTGAACACGGTTGTGTTCCCGGCCGTGTGGGCTAGTAAATGGAGAAACTATTGGTGGCTCTCTTGAAACGTGCATCAAATGTGAACATGCCCAACTAAGTAGGGCTGGGCATGTGGGTGGAATGTGAATCACCCGTGGGTTTGGGCTGACCCATTCACATTTGACTCAGAATTTTGTTTGTGGGTGGGTGACAGGTTGCACTAGGAGCCATCCGCCTTGTGGTGGGTGGGTTGTGGGCGGGTGCACGGGTGACCCGTTCAACCCAACAACAAAAAGAACAAAGTCGTTGGAATGGCGATGGAGAGGGGAGAGTGGAGACGTTAGACGAAAACTAGGGTTGCTCCTGGATTGAACCTCAAAGTCAATCTTCCAAACTGTGATCCCCTCTTCTTCCCTTTATTTTTTCCTCGGATTCTAGTGCCTAGATCACCTCTCTTTCCTCCGTTGAATTATTTTACTTAGTTCCCTGCATTTGATAATCATCTTCATTTGTAGAAAACTTCTCCATGATAGAATTTCTATCAAATTTCAGAACTAATTCAACATTTCCCCCTATTCCATCTTCTTGTTTCTGCCAGATAACTCTCTCCACCGATTATCTTGTCAAATTGACTCCTTTGTATTATGTACGATGTGATATGGGTGAATCCGCAAACCCACCCACATCATCCACCAACTACCCGACCCAACCCGAGACTAAATGTGGGTGGGTAGTGGGTTAAAAATTATCAATCCGTTTAAGTGCGGATGGGTGCATTTTATGGTCAAAATCCGCCCGACCCACCCAATGCCCAGCCCTACAACTAAGTATTGTTGATTGATTTTTCTTGTAAAAAAATTAAAAATAAAACAATACATTGTGTACAATTCATTGTAAGTATTCCAATGAAGCTATCACCAAAACCAAACGATTTGGTTGTTTTCTCGTTTCGGTTTATCCTTGATAATACTGTTTGGTTCATCTTTGATCCAATGCCGGAATCTAACACTCGTACGAAGCACTGTTCACAGGGCCTATCTTAGTTTTATCCTCAACTGACCAACTCAGTACTCAACTCCAACAAAACCACACCAAAGCTCAAGACCAACAAAAGAAGACGCATAAACAAAAGAAGGCAGGACAGCAAAAAGAGTTTTCCTTTCCTACCCATTTCTTCTTCCCCGCGTTTCAAACGCGATATATATACAACACCAACGGAGAAAGGGAAAAGAAAGAGGCAATAAATTTAAGCCACCCTTCTCTCCTCTCCTCTACTCTTTTTTCTGTCCGAAATTCTAACACTGCCCAACACGTAGTTGCTTCTTCTTCTTTTATTCTTTCTTTCTTTCTTTCTTCGGGGTTGGGCTTTTCGCTGAAGCCTTCCTTCCTCTTCCCCTAATTGTTCGCATCTCCTCTCGATTTCCCCATTGCCCCCTCCCTCCTTCCAATTGCACCTTAACCGTTCTGTGATTCTTCTCCGTTGCTGTTTCTTCTTGTCGAGGAAGGGAAAAACCGAGATGGGCATGGCGGGTGAGGTGGTTAAACTGAAGCGGGCGGCACTAGAGGCATGCATGACATGCCCTCTCTGCAACAAGCTGCTCAGAGAAGCTACCACCGTCTCTCTCTGCCTCCATACGTGTAAGTTCTCCTTTTCTCCCCGACTCCCCATTCTTCTCTTCCTAAGATGTTATATGGACGGGAGTCGTCTCCTTTTGATCTGTGTTTGGTGGATGCGATTTATGTTTCGTATAATTGTTTCTTGTTTCCCTCAAGGGCTTACTTACTTTCGCAGCATTTTTCGTTCTTCTGCTTCTACGTTTTCCTTGAATGGTTTTTTTGGGTATATTTCTACTTACTTTTTGGCGTGCGTGAATTGAATGCTGCCCGGTTATGAAGATGGGTGGAAGGTGAAGGCTGTTGCTTTGCTGCAATTCCTGAAATGGGTTGTGTTCTGGTTAGAATGTTTGCATTTGGGCTCTTGACTCTCGATGCGGTTTTCTCTTTTAGCTATAACTTTGATTCTGTGTGGAACGTGCGATGATGACCCTACGAGATGTGTACTTCCTTTCCTTTTTTTCTTCTTCCTTATGGATTTTTGGTGTTATAGATTGGTGATAATGCGAGCTTGAAGTTGTATGGTAGGCTTTGAGCTTACCAAACGGCTGATACTGCTACACCTGCCACTGCTCGACTGCAGATTAATGTGTCACGATTTTGCTTGCTGCTTCAACCTTCGTGGGTCGAAAGAAAAGGAACACTGTCGTGATGCTGGCTGATTCGTTGCTCTTTGGCTTTGAGTTTCATGATAAAGCGAGCACGTCTCGTTGATTCTTTCTACATGGGTGTCTTCTCAGCCCATTGGTTTAATAGGAGTATAGGACGATAGATTTCATGTCATTTTGACTGGTGTGGAGGTTCTAGTTGCTTGTTGTTTGCTAGTCCTTGGTCCCTTCAATTTTGGGATCCCAAAATTCTTTTTTCTTCCCTGTCTTGAATAAGCTATGGTTGACAAACCAACATGAGCTCTATCAGGAGACATGCATCGTCTGCTGTTATAACTGTTGATTGACCTTTCTCTCGGTTATTCGGGTCTAATTCCATTCACCAGTTTTCTAATGTGTTTTACATTTATTCAAACAGTCTGCAGAAAATGTATATATGACAGATTCTCAGATGATGAAGTTGATACCTGTCCTGTGTGTGATATCGACTTGGGTTGTCTGCCAGTGGAGAAACTCAGGTTAGTTAACATACTGTAGTTGATGTGTCTTTGAAATTTCTGTTATCCCTGGATTGCATATGGATGGAAGCATGCATGTATTACGTTATTGCAATGACATTCTTGATCAGTTTGGACAATAAGGACCTATGATTGAGACAGCTTATGTCACCATCGCCTACTATTGAACATTTTTCATGTGTCCAAGTGAGACTAAAACCTTATGATTACGTTCAATTATCTGAATAAACAATCTGAGCTCTGGCTGCAGATGGATGAGTGTTTGCTTTCCTATCTAAGCTGAAAATTTTCCATACATGATCATCTGAATATCTCCTCATGGAAGGTGGTTTTCGCTGAAGAAGATTTATTTTGAGGGCTTGAGTATACTCTGTTTAAACTGAAGAGAGAATGTGATGTACCAACTTTAGTCTTTTCTGATAACCATACAAGAAAATGTTGAAGATGTAAAGTAAATTATGGTGTAATATGTTCACGTAATTTAGAAAGATGGTCATGCAGTTGCTAATTGTTGATCTTCTCTGAAAGATGAGTTAGCTTACTTTTCCTATTTTTCTTTTCTTGTGCGTTCCAAAGTTCATATGGACTTTTAGACCAATGTGCACTGTTATTTCTTGGCATCTCTTGACATACTCGGGGAATTAGTTAGCTTACTACTGATGTCTCTGCAGCCACTGCATTGGAAACATGATTATTTTTTTTTTCTTACAAAAATATAATGAACATGAACAAAAATAAGAATATCTGATTTCTATCCGGGGAGGTGGCTATACTCGGTATACATTTGATGATTTTTTTGCAGGCCGGATCACAATTTGCAAGATTTAAGATCCAAAATGTTTCCATCCAAAAGAAGAAAAGTTCATCCTACTACCGAGGTTGTCACTTCAGTTGCATTGCCAGCAAAGAGAAAAGAGAGATCATTATCATCTCTGGTTGTTAGCGCTCCCAAAGTGCCTGTACAAACCAATTCGACCGGGCGAAGATCCAAAGCTGGTCCAAGAAAAAATCCTGGATTACGAGGATGTAGTTTTACTACCGAAGAATCAAACAAAGATGAAGAAGAAGACTCTGCAGAAGAAGATCATCATCCAATCAGCTCAAGCTCCCCCGAGTCCCAGAATAAAATTCCACAACGGAAAAGGCAGGTACAAAGGACTACTAGTTCTACTACCTGAATGTTTCTGTTCTTCAAGCTAAGTGCCACACTTTGCTACTTGTTTATGTCATTTTGAATGTTTCTTTAACTGGTGGTGGCAGCATTCCTCTGCTGCTGAACCTTCTAATGAACAGAAACAAATGGATGTAAATAGCGAGGATGATGATGGTGAAGTGGTGGAAGGGAAAGCTGATCTATGGACACCCTTAAACTGTCTAGTTGAAGCTGCTAACACAACTAAGTCATTGACGTCGAACTCACAACAGGTGCAGTCCGTTGCCAACTCAGAAATTTTGTCCACTGGGCCTGACCTCAAATCGAGAAACGTAGATACGCAATTGAATGTAGAGTCTCCTACTGTTGGTCAGGGTGGAGAAACATACATCCTCCCCGAAAGGCAAAATAAAGAACCTGATCAGGGACTCAACAGTGAAGATGATGGTAAGGGGTCAAATAATCTGGTTGCACCACCGATGAAGCGTAGAAGGTTAACTGCAGCAAGAAGGAGGGAAGCTTTGTTAGAAGAGCTCAGTGCCTCGGCACAGGCTGTACTGGATTCTGCAATAAACAAGGTCAACCGGAGAAACTGCCCAGTTTGGTTCTCGTTGGTTGCCTCAGAGAAGTAAGTTTCTCTAACTGTAGAAACCAAAAGAAGCAGCAGCAGCTGCAGCCCACTTGGATGTTTAACTTTTTCTTTTTCCTTCTCTTTCATGGCTTCAGGAGGGGAGATGCTTCACTACCACAGATTCCTGCTTGTTACTTGAGGATCAAGTGAGTTTCAAAATCCCATTGCTTGATTCACTACCTTTTAGTGGATCAATAATCAAATACACCCAGTTCGATATCTACTTTCTAATTTTCAAGTAGTAGGACCCGGCTTTACGGTATCCTTTATACATTTTCATTAAATTTTGTCCTTTTAATTCTATAGAACTCCGAAGTTTATGGTTTCAGTTCTGTTATTTCACACCACTCACAAATTTCTAGTATTTCTCTGCTATCCTTAAAATTTTGAACAAATTGTGATGCCACCAAATCATCGTTTTAGAATCATTTACTTGTTTTAATATTTATTTCTTGCTCACACTTTAAATTTTTACTAGCTGCTTCAGTTGGCAACTTCTCCAAAATTTGAACAAATTGTGAAGTTTGACATTAGATGTTGACTTTCTGTTGGGGTTGTGTGGGAACAATGGCAGGGATGGTAAGATGCCTGTGTCATTCATTCAGAAGTACATTGTGAAGAAACTCGAGCTCAGCAGTGACACTGAAGTAAGTTTATATTATGTCTTGTCTGATTATGCTTCTCCTTGGAAAGAGTCGCCATGTGGTTGGTTCGTGTTAGTTAGTTAGTTGGTCCGACTAAGGCTGACGTGACAGTGGTGGTGACAGGTGGAGATAATGTGCCAAGGGCAGCCGGTGGTTCCAACTCTGCAACTGCGCAACTTGGTGGACTTATGGTTCCGGAATGCATCGACCAAGAGAGTGGAAGTACCTGTGGGTTCTTCTGCCAGGGACTTTGTAATGGTCTTGTCTTACTGTCGTAAACTACAGCAGCAGGCTTCTTAGAACGTACCCCCCTCATAGTTTTAGTGCCTTTATCCCTTCTGTTAATCTTGCTTTACTTACTCTCATCCCTTCTCCCTTTATTTTTTTCCATAGGTTATCGAGTATACAAATGTATGAAGGTATATGATTAAATTCATTATATTGGTTAGCAACTTCAGTTCTTCAAGTAATGCTTTACTGTTGAATAAGTTTATGCAACATGAAACCTAGGCATTGTAAACAACACACAGCTAAGGAACAATCAAATAGTAATGAATAAATCAATCTATTGAGTAACATTCATTGATAGCTTACGTACTCGTTGTTGTAGAACGATGTCTACGGGTAGATAGATATAAAAGAACCAAAAGCACCTGATTGTTGCTGTATTCTGGATTTAGTGCAGCAGACTATTTTGGATTCCAACTTTCCAACAATGAATTGGAATCCCATGTTTATGACTTTACTTGCGTCCCCTGTGAAAAACAAGCAATCAGGCACACTTCGAATTGCTGACTTCTTTCTCTGAGCATATGTATATCCTTCCTCGCTCGTCGAGTGATGACAGCTCGTAGAACCCAACAGTGCAGCACATTGCTCTTCATGAGTGTGCATAGGGCTTATCTCATCACTGTCATCTTCAGTGCAACCCCAAAACTTGACCTTGTGACCCAGTGAGCAAGACACACAGGAATGTATTCCAGCAGATAACAGATGTCACAGCACCATCGTGTGCCTTGAGTACTGTTTGAATGCACTCCTCGGTGTTCAAATCCCACCACGCCTTGATCGTCCCATCCATCAAACCAGAATATAATCTTCTACACGAATCGCCATTAATGGTCGAAATAGAAGGCTGTGAGGATAATGAACTAGGTGTAGTTCGATTGTGAAGCATGAGAAAGATTTCAAGCCAAAAATCCACCTTGAAATGCAGTTTATGCTCAGCCCCTGTTGAATTTATATTATATCAAGGAAGCTGTCTTTGAACATAAATGAATCTAAAAAGAAGAGGTCTGATATATGGCCACGAGACTGAAGCACCATACGCACGACATCATCCCTAAGCAATTTATTTGTTTGTCATATAAAATATTCACAGTAAGCTTGCATTCAAAGTTAAGGCATGAAGCAAACATATGTTTTTTTATTCTAATAGAACACCAAGCAACTACTTTTGATGAATAAAATTGTTGCTATGTAAATAAAGTAGAATTTTCATCTTCAAAATAGGGAAGATAAGCAGAATCAGCTACATATGCCACATCACGTTGGGTGGTTTGCATCATGGATTTGGGTCTCACTCTGTGATCATCATGGATTTGGTACAAAACCCATGTTTGTTTGATAATTTTTGAGACACCCAATGTCAATCTGTAGGGTTCATGGATTTGCAAAAACCTGGTCTATAGGTGAGATTTGGACCAAATCCAGGAATAGTGTAACATGCATGTGTTATATATACACAGTCTAATTTGATCAAATCTAGCGGGAGGGAAGTCTGGGTTCGACAAACCATCAGATTTCCCTGTAGCCGGATTCTAGTGAAGGACCAACAGTCTCAGATAAAAATGGACACCATAGATAGCACACCCGGGCCAGGAACCACTTTACTGCCATGGACTATCAAACCAACAACTGAAGAAGCTACAGAAACTGAAAGATGCTAAAATGAACAATTTGCTTAGCATAATAATTCAAACCTCTTTGAAGGGCTTGTTCCCATCTCATCCCCTTTGTCGCTTTTCCATCTGGGGGAGACAACGACCCGCCAACCTAATTCCAAAATCTAAAGCAAGAACTAAAAAATTAAAACACTGCAAAAAAATTTCGACACCTGAGAGATTCGAACTCTCGCGGGGAAACCCCATGTACTTAGCAGGCACACGCCTTAACCACTCGGCCAAAGTGTCATTCATATTTCTTTTCTGTTGATATAGTAATATATTAATAGCTTGTTTTCTGCTTGCTTGATGTTTTAATTTGTTTGTATTTTCTTTTATTATATGATATTCTTTTTTTCAATTGAGACAGTCTTTTAATTCTTTTATTTATTTATATTATCTATTATCAGAATATCATCTAATAGGATGATCGTTGCACTTAGTGTGTGCTTAATGCGGATCAACAATAATGTCAAGGGTTAATAGCATTTTATACCCTTGTATTATTGCAAATTAACAAACATATCACTCTATTAATATATTGCACTTTTGTACCCTTCTACTATGCAATCGTAACAAATTTTCCATTTTGTCAGTTCATCGTTAGATAACAATTACGAGGCAGAAAAATGCCCAATTTACCCCTCTACTATTTTTATTTCTTTTCCATTTTTTTTCTCTAAATCCTCTGCTAACTTCTCTCTCTCAGCAATCATCAGTCCCGTCTGTCGTCTATGTTGCTTCCCTTGTCTCGACTCTCGACTGATTTGTAAAGAGTAATCATAATAAAGTTCAAAAACATCTAGCAATTCAAAAACAAAAACGGTAATAATAATTTGTCCAGAAAGAATAGTAGTAGAGTCTAGAATCGGTCACTTTATTCAAACACAGTAAAAAATCTGAAATGCTAAATGTCATCCTAAATTTACTATTTGATGTACTAAATTTAATATTCAATTTACCAATTAGTCCAATTTCAAGTTTCAAATTAAAGCATAAATAAACAAGCTCCTTCTCTCTCATCCCTAACAAGCAACACATTAATGATCCTCTCTCCTCCCCCAGGCCCTCACGTTCTCTCTTCCAAGTCCCTACCCAACCCTCTGGATATCCTCTGTCTATCTCAGCCGTCGCTGACCATCTCGTTCCACCATCGACCCGATCCTTTCCTGAATCTCCATGAAGCTCCGCAACCCTCATCCATGTGCCGGCCAAATCATCCCCGTCGTTAACTTCTCACGTTAATACTCTGCAACTCCTCTGTCAATCCCATCCTTCGCTGGCCATCTCGTCCCATCATCGATCTGGTTCATGCTTGACCGCCGCTCCGCAACCACCCCTACATCAGCCCTCTGCAACTCCTCTGTCAATCCCAGTCGCCGACGACCATCTCATTCCACCATCGATCCAGTTCTTCCCTGACCTCCAGTCCGCAACTGCCCCTAATTCTCACTGCCTCTTCGTTAGCCCAATAGCCCATCCTGTCACAGGAGAGGAATGGAGGAAAAAGTCATTGTCTTTTGCCAGATCTCGTGCCCTAATGTGATGAAAGTGTTGCTGGTGATTCTCAATAGCTCTGGCTTCGCGTCAATTTGAAAAATTCAGGGGAGGAATAAACATGGGAGATAATGAGAGAGAGAGAGAGAGAGAGAGAGACTTCGAAATAAAGTGGTGTCTCATGGATCTTACTTGATTTTGCCTTTGTGTGTGGTCTTTCAGGCAAGATACATGGGTCGGAAATCATGCGCATGCGTCAGAGAATAAGATCATCCGAAGCAGAGGCACGTCCTCCCAACCCCTATTTTGACTATCGGTCAACCAAAATTTTGTTCTCATTTGGCCTTCCATTCAATCGACCAGTTGTACTCTTTTACCCATCCTTCCAACCGACCATTTTGCTTTGTTCACAGTCCGACGCACACAGATTTTTTCTTCACGTACCCGTCCTTCCAACCGACAATTTATACATGTTTCCCCATCTGGAACAAAGATAAATTTTTCTCGTGTACCCGTCCTTAAGGTCACGGGGTTGTCTCACTTGATGGAGTGCATGATGCCCCATTTGGATTATGTCCTTTTGACGGATGCAATGAAGGCTGACATGTGTGGTCTTGTTCGAGTCGGCGACTTGGAAGGTGTTGTTGGTGGTAAGTGGAGTATTATTTGGTATAAGAATGGTGGCATGCATGGAGAGGGTGCATTGTTTCGTGCTAGTGAGCTTCAGATTACGGGGTTGAGGTGTAGTGTTACTTGTTTCTGATGCTAGGGTCCACATTGTTCGTGGACAAAAGTCAGGCTCACATTTGTCCTGTAGTCAACTTATATCTATAGAAGTACCATGATGTGGTGGGGTACGTTTGGAGTGTTGGTACCACATCTTTCCAACAATGTATGACCTGATCCAAGATTAGTTGGGCTCCGGGTATGTCAAGACCTTTCTTCTTCCGCTCGTCAACAAAACATATAGCCCGAATATTCTTGTTTATGTGCCAAAGACATAGCAAATGCCTAGATGATGGAAACATGACACTAACTGTCTTAACCAATCCTCTTGCCTTGTCACTGCCAATCGCATGTAGAATGATAGATCTAAGAATGAACTGCAAGTGCCTAAAAATCCTTCATAGTTTTAATTCTACTTCTAGTTTGTTTGTAAGATTTTTCCTTTACATCGGTTTAATCTTATTGTCTTACAATTTGGTTACCACTGTAAAACCTCGACACAACTCATGAATTTGAGTAAATTTTTTTTTAAATCCCTCGTGAGTATATGACCTAAGTAGCCTTTTATCTAGTCAGTTAAATTCGCCTCTATGCTATAATTGATCAAATTTTGGCATAATTTTTTACTTGTCTAATCATTTGTAGGAATTTAGTTGTACCCTTATTGTTTTAAGGTTTTGTTGATTTCATTTATTTCAAGAGTTTTAGAACACTTGTTACTTTTCATGGAGTATTCTACTTGTGAGTTTGCAGGGACCTCGAAGAGGCAGAAGTCCAAAAGTATCAGAATCGATGGCCCATGCTCCATTTTTTACTCAAAATTGATGTCCTAAGCGCCATTTATGAGGTTTTTTCTTCTATCAATGTAGTTCTGAATTTCAGGTCATTTAGTAACCACTCATATGAAATCCATAAGAAAATACCAACATTTAAGGTCCTCATAAGGGTAATAGAATTTGCTTTACTCTCTTAAAGCTAGATAGTTATAGAATCTTGATCGAAAAATTCAGAAAAAGACAACCTCGGTCTCTTTTGGGTTGTTTCTCTTTGAGAAACTCACAAGGTGCAACCATTTTGAATTGGCGGCACAAGCCACCATTTTAAGCTGACGAGTGAAACTCTCCACTATTTGGAAGCTTTACAGTTCTGAACCATGAGGGAAAAATCACACAAACTTTGTTTGAATTGTTTCGCCCTAAGGCGGTTACGATCTCACCTAGTATCATTCAACCGGATATTACATCTGACCAATTCGGGCTCGTAACTTATATGATCCAACTTGTAAAGTAAAGGATAGGGCGGATTGAAGTGCAATCTCACACATGCGAGAAGGCTCTATCAATATAAGGGTAGAGTCTCGGCCACAATCAAGGTGATTACCTGATTGATACAAAGCAAACACTCGGGAAATTGGATTCTAGCGATTCACAAGAGAAAATTCCAGAGTAAAAACTCAATGAACCAAAAAAGGATTTTCTATTCAACATCCATCTCCCTCAAACCAGAGTTTACAACCATTTAAATAGGTTTGGGAAACAAAGCTAATGAAAGTACAAAAAAAGGAAAAAGAATCATAAACGAAAAAAGTAACTAATACTCGTCAGGGGCAAATACCCTATCCGGGATTAGCACCTCATGACCATGGGTCCTTTTGATCTCATTCTCATATCGCGAACCTCAAATTCCTACCGAGGATTTTAACCCACATGATAGGAGATTTTTCCTGATCACCATACTATCTTTAGGGTGCTCATTTTGTGTCCAAGAAGCTTCAATCTTCTCACCCAATGCCTTCACGAACTTTAATTGGACTTATAATATGATGTCTAACTCCAAAATTCCCTCGAATGCCTCCCAAACAAAACGAGTAAGCCTCCAAAGTAGGTACCACAGACTGTTTCCCAGACTTAGCCAAATTCCCAACTTCTTATTTCCTTGACTTGGTTTCTTCTTTGAATATCAATGGAATTGGTTTTGGGTCACAATCCTGGATCACATCAGTCCCTCCCTGTTGGCAAAGCTTTGCCGTCAAAGCTTGTCTGTTTCTGCACAAGAAATCATCATCATAATAGTTGTAAAAGGATCTAGATAAGCCATATGCTCTTTGTCCACCGTGACCATCTTGTAAAAATCTCCATCTTCCTTTTGTGATTCTGAAGTGCCTGGTGTTGGAGAAACCACCCCATTGTCTTCAAGGAACACGTTAGAATCGGTGGTTTCCTTCAACTTGTCCTCTAGCTCTACACTGATTTCCTAAAAAATTCGAACTCTGTTGCACCGGAGAACTCAACCTCGAACTTAATTCCTGCTCAGCCACGGTTTGAAGCGTAGCTCCCAGCTGAACCTTCTGTGCTGCAAGCTGTTTCTTGGCGTCTTCAAGGTTTGGCTCCATAGCTTGTTCTTCGCAGTCTTCTTCTCCTTGCCACTTCTCTTCGCCTTGAGTTTGAACTAGGCTCTGATACCACATTATAAGATCCCGAGCTCGTGAAAGCTTAGGTTCTTTGAGCAAAGTCGCGCAGTCATAATCTTTTTATGGTTCTCTCAACAACAAGAAAAGTAAAGAATAGGGTGGATTGAAGTGCGATCTCACACTGGGAGAAGAGTCTATCAATATAAGGGTAGAGGCTTGGCCACAATTAAGGTGATTACCTGAATTGTACGAAGCAAACACTCAGGATATTGGAGTCCAATAATTCACAAGAGGAAATTCAAGAATAAAAACTCAATTAACCAAAAAAGGGTTTTCTATTCAACATCCGTCTCCCTCAAACCAGAGTTTACAACCCTTTAAATAGGTTTGGAAAATAAAACTAATGAAAGTACAGAAAAGAAAAAAGATTCCTAAACAAAAAATGTAAATAATACTCATCGAGGCCAAATCCCCTATCGGGGATTAGTATCCTCATGACTGGGGATCCTTCTCATACCATTCCCATATCGGCAACCTCAGATCCCTAATAGGGGATTTTAACCCACATGATTTTTCCTAATCACCATACTATCTTTAGGGTGCTCATTTGGTGTTCAGGAAGTTTCAATCTTCTCACCCAACACCTTCACGACCTTTAATTGGACTTATAGTTTGATGTCCAACTCCAAACTGCCCTCGAATGTCTGCCAAACAAAACGAGTAAGCCTCCAAAGTAGGTACCACAGACTGTTTCCCAGACTTAGCAAAATTCCCAGCTACTTCTTTTCTTGACTTGATTTCTTCTTGACTTGGTCTGGTATAAAATAGAGTCTTCAAAAGATTATTCCAACTAAACAATTAAAAAATGATTTTTTTTTTCATAAGTTCAAAGGATGTTTTACAATAACAAAAAGTAGAAGGACCAATTCTGAAATTTAGAAAACAGAATATTCCAAGAATATTCTTTCAACTTTAATAGAATGCACTTGACAGTAAACTTAAGTGGTACCAGATGCACATATAATAGAGTTCAGTGGGCAGTGGCACATGATGCCCTGTTCTTATTTATGTGATATAGCTCCCCCCATTATCATACTTTAGTGGTACCCGATATATTTTACCCATACAACATGCAGGTAGGTAACTATCAAGCATAGCAACTTCTAGCAGTTCAACATTCGGAGATTTCATAAGTTCAACATTCAATAGACATAATATTATAGGAATGAATGAAGGAATTGTTCGATTAATTTGACAGAATCACATCAATTTTTTTTGCAATAGAAAGTCCTTTACGTTCATTGAAAATTTGATCTCTCGTTGGTGAGTGAGGTAGCCGCAAAATCGCTTTTCTCTTCCCTATGTTTCCAGTGGCGAAGTCACATTGTAAAAGGTTCGAGATAAGGGCATAAAAAATAACAATATTTGTATGAAATTCTTAATACTCAAAGTCTCAAACCCAACATCTCATGTTTATCAGTTTCACTTGTCTTCCTGCACAGTGTAGATAAATTGAGACACAAATTATGATTGCATATTATATGAATAAATATAGATTTTACATAAATTTTTGTCTCAAATTAATTATTTTAATTTTACTAATTCCTAATTTAGTGTTGAACTCTCTACCATCAAATGAAAATTCATTGACAAACTATCATATATATTGTGGGTCATTTAAGTATTACTTAAATGTATTCTATATATTCATATTTTTACATTGGACTCGTGTTAAGTGAAATCCTAGCTACAACATGCTAGACTTATGTGGCATTGCGAAGAAGGAACACTTCCTACAAATACATACAGGAGCACTTAGTGATTACCAAAACTGAGCATCATGTATTTCAGGACCGTACATTAGAATGTGAAACACGGGGAAATGAAAATTTTGAACTTTAATCAATAAATGGAATACGAATATACCTTAAGGCTTAAACACATTTACAAATAACAAACCCCATAAATGGGAACGGGTATGATGACTAAATTGAAATTCTGACACAATGGGAAAACACTTTCCAAAGCATGGGGAGCTTGGGCGAAAATGAGTTTCTTCCTCTTATGGAATCCATTGATGTAATCCCCTGTGAAGAAATTTTCAACCAAGTAGTTCAATACAAAGGGGAAAAAAATGATTGACTCACCTGAGTTTAAGGGACTCATAATCCAAATTTGAGGGAAATGGAAGGGGACACATAACCCAATAAAAAAAAGAACACATAACGAAAGCGTTTGGCAATTGGCCAAAAATGTCCTTCCGTGAAAAATGTTGAAACAAGAAGTGCATACATGGCAAATTTGGTAAAGGGTAAAGCCCATAATGTAAGTGTTTAATAATTTGATTTGATAAAAGCTTGAATTATAATTATCTTTCGGGTCAAAGTTCAAACCAGATAAACTATTGTCCATTTTTGTTGACATTTTCAATGTATTTCTAACTACTCATGTAAGCTCAAAATAAATGTAAGAAAAATTCAAGATGAAGTCATCTCAATTCTTAAGAAGTCATCTCAAACACAGAGCGGAAAGCATAATACTAGTACAAAAACATAAAAATGTAGCTAGCTTCAATAGATGATACAAAGTCACAAAAGCAAACAATTAACAACGAAGGAGACCGTATTACAAATACGAAGCAAACCGCCCTGCAAATTATGAGCAAACATTGAAAGTAACTAACTATAGCAAAGACAGAAAATGGTAGGACTTGGATCAACAATTAACAGAGTTAGCGAGGTTCTCTTTATACAACAACCCAGAGATTAATATGTACTCATAATTCTTCTTTACAGACCCATATACAAATTCACTGTTAAAAGACAAAATTCACTTCAGAAAAATATCAAAAGTCATCAGTTCTGGGAAATGCAAACAATAGGCTATTCCTACTGAAAACATCCCAATATCATCATAACCCCTGATACTGAAATCGCAACAATCTGTCTCTCCTTCCCCCTTCTCCTTTTTAACATTTTCTTCAAACAGGTTAGTGAAACTTAAAAAAAAAACCCAGCAGCAGAACAGGTTCATGACTCAACAGAGATGTTGGCGCTTGGCTGCTCTCCAGCCATATGCTGAGTAGCATTTGTGGTAGTGGTGGTAGAAGTAGTAATTACATGATGTTGTTCTGACCCGGAATGACTATTTGCCTTGTTGTTGTGGCTGCTACCATTTGTCGCCTGTCCACTGCTGCTGGTACGAGTCCTGGCTCTGGCACCAGATGTGGATTCTTTATGGGCATGGTTGCCGAGGCTGTGGCGTTGCGTGACACAATGCTTGTTGACCTGTTGTTGCTCCTGATATGTGTTCACTGTAGCATCTCCACAGCTCTTTCTCCGGTTTAGCTTCGGTGATACTGGTCGTGTTAATGGCAACTGACAAAATAGAAAAACAGAATACAGAACTCCCACATGTTAGAGTTGGCAAAACTGCTTCTTTCTTACGTAGAATCTATGTTGTGCTTACATATGAAGAAGAAAGAAAGTAATTTGCAGCAGCATCACTTGTTCAGTAATAAAGGAAAGTGAAGTGCATAAATATAAAGAGTTTTTTAAAGATAAGAAGTGAGGACACTCCTTTATTACTTTTTGGGGGTGTTCGGTTCAGAATGTTTGGTTGTACATGATAGTGATTTGTACAAATTGCATGCTTACTATGTGAGGTTTTGTTCAGAAAAAAAGTTCATTCATTAAGTGCGCTTGCTAGGAAATTGTAGTTTTTGTGCATATTTTCTGACACTGCATGTGCAATTTCAAATGTACTTAAATATGTTAATACGTCCAATCACAGAACAATCACTAGATGTTTGTTCAGTTGCATGTTCTTCCAAATATTACATTCTATCATCTGTTTAACTTATGGTTCGTGCGCATCAAACAAAATATACTTTTGTGCCATCTGATTAGCGAGATGATGGTTAGAAGTAGATACCTTCTTCAGTTCAACCTTTGGTGGAGGCGGCTCGTAGTAGAAATTGGGTACTGGGTTTGCTCTAAAGATCATGTTCTTTCTCATCTGCTTGATGGCTGCTTGTTGCTCTTCCTACAACAAAAGAAAGGCAAAGTTCGCTCAAGCATGTTTGAATAAGACCAAATCCCAGTATCCCAACACGATGCACCTTAAGTTTATAGGCTACCAATCACATTGAGTAGAGAGAATACCTTGGTCCTAGCCTCAGCCTGGTTTTTCTCAGCCTCCAGAGCTTTTTGTTTTTCCTCCAATTTTGTATAGAACTAGAAACAGAATTAGAAAAAAACAAAAAGAGTTCTAGCTAATTAGCTTCTCACTTAAGTTATAGAACTGTGGTAAAGAAAAAAGGTGATTTCAGAAGGAAAGTACCTCCTTCCGCCTTTGGGCACGTTCAGCAGATTTAAAAGTCGGAGCTGTGCCAACAGTGATAGATTTAATAGTCCGAACAGATGCAGCAGTTCTAGACATGGCTAAGGAATACAGACAATAACTGAATTTCACATAAAGGTTTTGAAGAGTGAGCATGACCCTAAGTTATTTGCATAGCTTTATTATGCTGCTAACTAGTAAAAAACGATTTTTTTACTCAATAAGAGGATACGGGGAAGTAGCAGAGCACTTGTCGTCTTCATCGAGATGCATGCCGTCATGTTGGAAGACCTTTCTCACTGACTTAGGTGAGCTATGCTGAGAAAAATGACAAAACAAAAATGTCAAGCACATTGAAGAAGAGCATAGAGAGAGTGGGAGGAAACCACTCCCAAAGTAAATGACCATAATGCTTTGCAGGATGAAAATACACTTTCAAATTGTAGAGAAACTTCAAATGCCAAAGCAAATTAAGGTGTATGACTTACCACAACTAAAGCATACCACATTTAATGAGCACATGTTAATCAAGTTAAGTGAGGATGAGGAGTTGATGATTAAATAGCTTATAATATACGATGGAGAGCTGAGTGAGAAGAATAAAAAAAAGGAGTTTTCAAAAGAAAGGAAGAATATACGAATAGTTTGAGACCTCTCTTAAACCTTTCAACCACCATGTTCTATAGAAAAATATCCAAACGAGGGAGCTACCTATAATTTAAATCAGTTGTAGTATCAGCAGAAGGTGAGTATATATTAGCAATTATTTGCTGTGTAATCAATTACACAAAAGAAAAACCCATTTTGTGCAACAAAAAGAAAGTTGAGAACTCAAATTAGGCATCCACCTATTAGGCTATTACCAAAACTACTACCAAGGATTCAGATAGTTACCTTTGAGATCTTCCCACTGATAGGTGACAACACATCGTACGCATTTGCTGAGCTGTTCACATCTTCATGCTTTTCGGTCATCAAAGGAGCTGGCTGTAGGTGTGCTGCTTCAGAGTTTCCTGGACCACCCCAATTGAGTGTGAGGGAAGTTGTCTTAGTACCATCAATTGACTTCTGACTTCTTGGTTTTTGACTTTTCTGCTCAGAAATGGGAGTTACAATACCATCATTTGTGTTCTTAACACCTAAAACTTCCTGATTCTTAATAACTTCCAACTCCTCCCCTTTTTTCCCTTGAGATTGGTCTGCCGAAGTACTTCTAGCAGACACACGAGCACCACCACCCTGTGACATGCTGTTTGACTTCCTTACAACACCATTACGCCTCTCATCCATGTCTGCATTCACAAGTTTCCGTCCCATCCAACTGCCACCAAAAGGTAAATGTTAGTCTTAGCCTCTAAAATGTTCTGATGCAATTCAGAGCTCCTCAATTGCAGGACGACATCCATACCAACAATGATTTCCAAATTTCTAAATCGCCACACAATATGATTATGCTAGCGACCAAACATGTTAAACTTAATGTCATGTGATAATGCACACAAGTCCATTCAAGGAGATAATCTTTTCCTTTCTCCTTCATGTAGCATTAAAAAACAAACATTTTGGGAGACATGGAAGGTACTATATTCAAGGTTCATCCACAAAATTTCACGATTGACCACATTAAAAGTCCACTTGAACATAGGAAGAGAAGATCTAGAACCTCCCCTCCTGATGAAGCATGTGGATAAAGCTCATTTAGTAACAGGTGAGCTCCCAGGTGAGGGAACATCTTCCCCGTCCTAGACCAGCAACAGATCCTTCCCAGATCGTAATGTCAAACTCCATTTCTAGCTCCATTTTGTTATTTCCTTTTAGAGGGCTCTCCCTCCACATGCCATTATGGACGAAAGAAACATGATAAAGGGGTAAGTAAGAAAGAATCTCGGATAATTGATAACTCCCATTAATCGTGGGAAAAGAGAAACAAATGAACCAACTAAAAATGGCCTGAATAAATGAGGTTGAATGCAAGTCAAGGAAATACCTTCAAAAAGGAGCAAATAAAGGCATCAGCTCAATTACTACATTAGACTAAGAATCTAAAAAGAAGCTTTCGTGAACATCTTAAAATCAAAAGAAATCACACAGACAATAGAGGATAAATTGCATGCAAGTAAACCTCCAGCCATAAGCTCAGATATTGCAAGAACATAAACAACAGAAAAAAGACAAGAACCCAACTTCCCCAGCCCAGAAAGAAACAAAACAAAAGGAAAGAAGGGTGTTGCTTGCTAAACCAACATTAAAATTTAAATCGGTCAACAATTAGAAAACAAAAAGAAGAAGAAACAGAGATTAGAAAATGTGGAGATGTATGAGAATCTCTGCAAGTTTATATACAGCTTCTGTTGGTCCAAGCTAACAAATAAGAAAATGAGAGTAGCAGGAAGGTTGAAAGCAGGAAAACCAGAAGAAGAAACGAAGAAATAAACATAAAGAAGAAGAAAGGAAGAACCTTTCATAGATCGAGGCACATTGCTGGTCCGGAAACAAAAACAGGGGAGAGCAGCAGAAGAACCCAAAAAGAGCAAGAAATAATGTAAAGATTTCTAACAATTCGTGGTCCGATCTAACAAGATCTCAAACGCAAAACCCTCCCTTCCCAATCCTAAATATTTTCTCTCTCTATCTCTCTCATCTTCCTCCCTAGTCCCTATCTATCTATCCATGCCTCCTTCCACACCTCTCTCTCTAAATATAAAATGATGCCAAAATGTTTTATGTGATTTTGCATTTTAATAGCTAAAGCATAGGAAAAGCAGAGTTTGACTAAAATTATTTCTTTTTTTAAGGATCCTACAAAACTTCTAGAAAACCTCATCTAAGGATGGAAAACGGGAAACGGGTATTTGGGAATACCCATACATGTCCCATATTTTGAGGGTTACGGGTACTCGTAATACCCGTATTATTTACTACGGGATGGAACTTGGGATGAACAATTTCTAAATTGGTACTCGTAATACCCGTAATATCCATTAAATCTGTCATCCCATTAGAGTTGGACTTGGATCCCACGAGCCCATAGAGTAAGAAATTGAAGACGGGTCCAAAATAAATAATTATATCCTCTTTTGATTTGATGCAGCCCCAACCCGCAACCAATTCTCAATTCTGGTCTTTGGAAAAGGAAAAGTGGAGAACTGAAAATTCCATTTCTTCTTCTTCGCTCTGGCTTTCGCATCAAGTGCATTGACTCCTGCTTATTTATACAGAAGGAAATAGGACAATGAGTTGTTGTCTTTAAGGTAAGAAATGTGTAGATTGTTATCTCATTTTAATAGGAAAGTTGGTGTGTGAGTCTCTGCTTGTTTGCTCTTTTGTATTTTGTGGGATGGGGGATTCTCTTTTGACTTCAGTTGTGTTCATTTCTGCTTAACCTTTGGACTCATTCCTTAATTTACAATTCATTTGTTTGAATTGATGGTTCTTTGCCGACTATGACAAATTATAATGACAAGCTATGGTTCGACAATTTATGGGTAGATTGGGATATTCGGGTATCCATTATCCGTTCCGTATGGGTAATGGGTACCTGTTAACCCATACGGGTTTGGGATATGGGATGGATTATCCCCTCCAAATGGGAATGGATACCCATTCCCGTCCCGTTTTCCACCGCTAACCTCATCTATCTTCCGGATAAGGTTCCAACAAAAAAAAAATACAGAGTTAGAACTGGTAATTACGCCACCGATCTAACTTTTTTTACAGTCTGTCATGAATTGCACAGAAAAAGTATTAGCATTCATTTTAAGTCATAATTTGAAATTTTCTACACATAAAGAAAGCACTAATTATGATCTAACATATGATATTCATTTTGCTATATTTGAGCAAAGAACAAATTGACTTTTCAAAACATGTGTCCATTGTAGTATTACCACTGTTATTTTTACTCAAAATTAAAAAAAATAGAAAGTCACACATAATACCTCATATCAACATCACATCAGTGTCATATCATATATTGATTATATCAAAATATGTATGACACTAATATGAACTCATCAAATTATTTTGTCAAACGTAAAATATGATACTAACATCATATCACTGTCATACCACCATCATAAATTAATATTTATGTAATATATTCATTTTATTATGTTTTGTCAAATAAGACATCAAACAAACATCATATCAGTGTCATATCAAAATAGTATCACTATACCATATTGATAATATCATGATTTGACATTGATATAATATTGTCCAATTAGTTTGTCAATCATAAAATCTCATACCAACACCATATCATTACCATACAAACATCATATCAACATTATACCACTATCATATCAGCATCATACCACTACGATATCATATCACTATTAGTGATAATATGGTGATATGACAATTGTATGATGACCTGGAATTTTTTGTCTAAAAAATTATCGAAATGGGAATCATCTACAAAGCACAAAAAAATTAATATATCTATCCACAAGTTTTTTATATTCGATCTAAAATGAATGAGCTATGGTCGGTTGATTCTCTATAAGAGTTCTAAAAAATGTCTTAAAAACCATCTTGAAATTCTCTTCCCCTCCATTCTCATTTTTTTTACTATGAGCGCGTCAAAGTATAACATGGTAATTCTCAGTCTGGTCATTGTTCTTCGAATTTTTTTTCTAAATATTATTTTTTAAAAATTATTACTCATAATTTGCTCTTTTTTTGAAAATATAATTCTCATATTATTGTACATATACTCGAGTTGGGGCACACATGCGACAATTGGATTTGTCAATCTTGAGTATAGCCAATTGAGGTGCGTGCCTAGATAAGGCTTATCCAAAATTTAAAAGCAAATTGGGGCAGCAAAACCCCTAGTTGGGGTGCACACACATGAATTGGGAGTTTTTGTCACCACAATATGCATTTCATTCTTTTGCTAATTTACTATTTAAGAAGTTGGCATTAAAAAAAGTGCATGCTAAATCTTTGGTAATTTTGAGTTACTTTTTTGTTTTTTTACGACAAAAATAAAATTTTCTTGTTACAATGTTGATATCACCCAAAATGTCGTTATTTAGAGCCCATATTTAGGTTTGTTTTTAGTCATTTTATGTTTTTCATGGTTAATATATCATTAAATATAACCCTTATTCATTCCTTTGAGAAAATATTAGCATATTAGGGTGTATTGGATGATATGGATGTTTTTAAGTATAAAAATGTGCACAAGTGTAGAGAAATGATCAAAATCACAGCCATAGCATTAATGATTACTGTCGGGGACAAATGACACATGATTGAGGACCGAAATCACAGCCTACAGTACCAACAAGGAAGTAGCAGAAAGTCTTGATAATCGAATCAGGCGCGAACTTTTGGAGAAGCCAACAAGGAGGGAGCACAAAGTCTTGATAATCGACTCACGACCTTCTTCATCTGAGCCCACGAAGAAGATCGAGTCCGCAATTCATGGATCGCGACTATGAACTTGGGCCGTAAACTTCCCAACCTTCAATGCACAAAAAAGCAAGCTCAAGATCGCGGTTCCCTTCCCAGATCGCGGCCGCGAACTATCCCAGCATGACCGTGAACTTGCCTTCCTAAAACAATGCTAGAGAAGTTGCACGCGTTCTGATCGAAGCACATCTCTAGTATGCATGATAGGTTGGCTCGACTCTAACTACACATTTCCAATCGAAGGCAAAACATAACCAACGATCATGTATAGCATAGGGTAAGCAAACAATAAAATTATCGAACCACGGGTCTCTAGATGTACGTTACTTCGGCTTAAGGTTTCGTTATCTAGCCAATCTAGAATAGTGATTAATAAACTAAGCTAACTACACTAACCTAACCACTACCCTAGCTAATTACGAGTTATAGAGCTCTCTTAGTTTGAATCCCCCTAGTTCTATCATTTGGACCAATATTGCGTACCATCCTAGCTCAATCGACTCAATTCATCTACCAATAGGAGAAAGACTCCCTCGGGAATTCACCCGGAACTACATAGATATGAATGGGTAGTATTTTATTCAACCTAGGGATTCACATACCATTAAGAAATTGACTCTACCGGCTCCATCATAGTTATGCAAATGACATATGATAGGAGCGACCCTAAGACGCCAATAATGGGCTTTAAGGGGATTTTCTCCCTCCTAAGTCAAAAGCTCAATTGACATGTAAAACTCATGCAATCCATGAAAACCATGCATCAACTAAATAAAATGAGAAATCAAACATAGGATTCATCACATACATCAACATCAAACCAAAAGCTAGAACTAGGGTTCTTCAACCTAATAGAAGAGGCTAATTCTAGAGAGAAAAGAGAGAGTTTACAAAAATAGCTCAAGATCTTCATCTTCTAGGCTTGAATCTTTGACTCCAAAATCAATCCAAGCCTCCAATTAAGCTCCAAGATCACTATCTCTATGTCTAGAAATGGCTCTTTGGGTGCTTTGGGTTGAAACCCTAAAGAAGAACCAAGCTCCCTTTTGTTATATGTATAACATGCTCCTCTACTTTGTATTTTTCTTAAACATGCCCCTCTACTTTGAATCACATCAAAACTACCCTTCTAGTATTAAATGCTGCTCAAAACTACCCCCCCCCCAATTAATTTTCCGTTTAAGAACCACCAAATTGGTCCAACCGAATTCGGTCAGCAGGATTTCATAAAAATGGAAGGCAAAATGACTTTGATGCCGCCTTATTTATAACCATTCGTTGAATGAAAAACCCTATATTCAAAGCCCTTCCCCTTTAACGACGAGACCCCAACTTTGACCATCCCAATTCTCCCGATGTATGATTTTTGCCGCCACCACCACTTTGCAGTTGTAGAATCTTCAACACCTTCATCCTCATAGACTTGCATCCATTCCCTCCCTAACTCCCGACCCTAACCTCTCCCGCCCTTTGTTTCCCCTTCACGCCGCCTCCACCGCACCACCATTGTCAATCTCCAATCTCTGCATCCCTACTTTGGATCTTACAGCAAACCCAACCCTAATTTCCCCCATCCGGCAATCTTATTAAGACCTCCATCACTCAAACCTTGGTTACGTCTGTCTTTCAGCGAGAAGAACATTGAGGGTATTTTGAACTCACTTTCAATAATTGGAAGGTAAGGGATCCTACACCAAACAACACTTTTATGATTTCACAAGTAGAATAAGACAAATTAAATAAATTATTATTATTATTATTATTTGTGATAGCAGGTCCTTTAAAGGACTACTTTGAACTCAAACCTACAGGGCTCTCCATGTAACCTGTAGGCATATTTTCTCCTACTTTAACAGCATCATTATTAATATATTATTGCTCTGTGTTGGTGGGTGTGTAATGCAAAATTGGAATTTTTTTGTTAGGACCAAGAATGGGTTCTCCAACGATGGTTTTTCATGTTCGTGGAAAATTTAGGAAGATCGGTTGTGATGTAATATACGACTGTGGGAAAGAATTATTATATCCTAAAACTGATCCTGATTAAATATGCACTTGGGACCTAATCAAAGCCATAAAACAAGAAGCAAATTTGAATGACGATTTTGAGATGTACTTCAAAAAGTTTGGGAAAAATGGAGATAATGCTTGGACACTACTATGTGATGAATCAGTCATTAGAGCGTTGGTTGATGAGTTCAAAGACAAAAATGTTTATAATGTTTACATAAGATATGCTTTCACGAAAGGACACCAACTCTTTGACGACGAAGAG